AGCAACCTTCAGGAAGCCAGAACAGATAATAAATCAATTTGTGAGCTTGAGAAAGAAGCACACCCGTTCTGTAATGATAACGCCGATCTGGAAGGCTAGGAGACAAAAGCCCATGTAATCGATCTTCATTTTCGCAGGACATTTGATGGAATGCCACATGCTTTGCTTATATAAGCACGATGGGGCAATTCAAGCTAGACAGAATTAGTGTTGGGGAAGTGCCCAAATGGTTGAAAAGTCGTCCCCAGCTTATTACCAGATCGTGATTCACTGTCACATTGGCAGAGGGACATTTTATGGGGTTATGCCAGAAATTTTCTCACCTGCGATTTGAGTGCCGAAGTATATTAACACTGGCCAGTCACACAAAGTGTGTCGAGTTTATCAGTATGGTGCACTTAGCACCTTTCTGACCGGTCTTCAGGACCAGCCTTCCTACGCCTCAGCACCTTGGCAGTACAAAGTAGCAACTTTGCGCTAGTGGTTCTTTTTTCTGTCATACTATTAGAAGTTCACGTGGTCTTGATTACTATGAACAAGCCAAGAATGCACTTAGAACCGATGTCAAGCTATCTGGGTCTGAAAGACTGACAGGTTGCCAAAAACACTTATGTGAATCCGGCATATTTTAACTTCGAACTCTTAAGCCAGTGTATTGTACCAGTGTCAATAGTGATCAGAAACTCGGTAATGGTTAGTGCAAACTCTTTTCAGGATGGAAGAATCTAGCAGTAGAATATAGAGTCATTTAGGAAGCTGAATGGTTGGATGAGAAGAGTGTTGTCACCAAATTGAATTCCGCATTTTCCCAGCATGGAACGAACTGGTATTCCTTCTAATTACTGCTAATACTGGATTCAAGGTTCAGCGGAATCCATTGGTCATAACACCAGTGCAAATGTAAAACTGTTTGCAAGAAGAGGTGGGTCCAGCCAGAGGTACATTTGCACAAGTGTGGTTAGCCATTAAGCTTGCCCAATCAATGGCGCAACTGTGGATTTAAAAAATGGAGCGGATGAGAGCTATGCAAGAAGGAAAATGGCAGGCATGCAGTGGGGGTTGGCTTCTCTTGGCCCATCTTGAACTTAGTCAGGGTACTGGGGCAGGAGAGGCATGTTTTAGCAGGATGGCAAAGGTGTCCCAAAAGCTATAGGTTGGATTTTTTTTTTTTTGATACAGGATTAGCTCCATGGCACAAAGGAGGGAAACATCACAGTTTGTCTCTCCTGGATCCATCAGGCTGAGGTCAAAACCTGGCCTCTGGGCTGGAACTAAGTATCCGTCTAACAGTATAAACATTCCAAAAAGCTTGCCGCCCACTTCCTGCATTACGAAACATGATGAACTAAATAGGATTTTACATTGTTTTTTCTAATTAAAGCAAAACTCTGTGGTTAAGTTAGGAAGGTGTGACGGCAGTGTAGAAGCAAGCAACTTCACTTCAAATACACCAAGCTTATAAAAATCAGTGTCTTTTAAACAAAAGCCCACACAAGAGAAAATGATAAATTATGAATACATTCTGTTGAGAAATTTTCGTGGTTAGTGGTGACGGTGGGGAAAATATGCATCCACATGAAATGAATCTATAAATAGTTCTAACAGCGATGTCTCATCTCCGAACCTCGGCCAAGAATGGTTTTTCGGATGAAGTTGTTGAATAGAAATCCAAATGGGAAGGGTGGTATGCCTCTTTCAAAGATAAGTAATGTAGAACTACTGTTGAGATGAAGCAGCTAGTTCGGAACTTGATTTATTTTGCTAACACATTTTCCAGCAGTTGTGAATGACAACACGCTTCCTTAGTTTAATCAAATACTGGGTTTGAGTCCGTGTTTTTGAAGCAGAATCTTCTGTGATGTGAAGTATCTAGGTCAGGCAAGTACACAGGTTTGAGCTCACTGTTTAAAACATGATGCACAGATGAAATCGGTTATATTTTCTGTATTCGTACATTCCCCAGCATCTTGGCACCATCGCCCAGGTAGATAAGTGTAGCTTTGGTCTAAAAACACAGTCCTGTTCTTCCAATCAGATAGCATTGCAGGATAATTCCAGACAACTGAATATTAAAGGTTGGCATCCCAGTTGGATGTGGATGGATGCAAGTAGCTAAAAATATTTCTTAGTGGTGAGGATTTGAAAGTTCTAAGCAGAGTAGATCTCCTCTGGGAAACTGACAGCTGAAAGGTATTTAATGTTTTAAGGCTCTGCTGGAGCAGAATAAATGTGAAAACCTAAAGTTCATGTTTTGGCTGTTTAGAAGCAAAGCCTTCCTGGGAAAATGAACAATGGAGAGATTCAATGCTGCCATCCAGTGGAGCTAAAATTTGGGGAACTGCTGATTTCCTAGCATTGCCAGACTACAACCCAGAGAATGGTTTTTAACCATTAATTCCTCCGCTGTGGCAAGAGATGCTGTTGTTGCTGTACCTTCCAGCTCAGTTTCTTGTTATTTTTCCCCATCACAGACACAATCAAAGGTACTTGTTCTGCATCCCTCACCCTATGCATGTTTAGAGAGGGGGAAACAAATTCCTACAACTTCCAGCATTCTCCAGTCAGCATGAAATCTTTCCATTGTTCGCCCTTGCAAGACAACTGGACTTTTTTGCCTCTCTCAAAACTCAGGGTTTAGCTCTTTCTTCCATCAGTTATTTAGCAGTTATCTCAGCTGTCCACAACCCAGGAGAATGGGAGTAACAGTGTATTCCCATCCATCTGCCCTGTGGCTCCGTAAAAGCCCTGTGACTTGCGCCCGCATGCTCCCTCGTGGAGGTTGTCTGTGGCGCGCCCCTCTTTTCCAAACCTGTGGAGCTCCTCTCCACCACAGAGGCGGGTCCCCAGGTGTGATGACTGCATTCTGGGTGGCTAGTGCAGGCATCGCAACTTTGTCTCTCTGGCACAAACTACTTTTCCTTATGAGGCAAAACTGAGGGAACTGGGCCTGGAGAAGAGGCGACTCAGAGGGGATCTGTTGGCGACATACAGGTATGTGAGGGGATGTCACACGGAGGTGGGGAGAGACCTGTTCTCCCCTGCAGAGGAAGGCAGAACGCGCGCCAACGGAGCAAAGCTCAGGGAGCCAAGGTTCCATTTGGATGCCAGGAAGCACTTCCTGACAGTCAGGACCCCGAGGGTGTGGAATGGGCTTCCACAAGAGGTCGTTGAGGCCCCATCGGTGCGGGTGTTCAAGGATAGGCTGGACGTGCACATGGTGGGCATGTCGTGAGCAGAGCCGGCTGGTGCCGGAGGTCAGGCTAGATGGCCTGGGAGACCCCTTCTGACTCACTCTGTTTCTATGTTTCCTTACTTTTTGTAAGTATAAGGTTATGTTTCAACCAGATGGTTCATTTTACCTAAGTTTGTATCCCAGTTTCAGGGGAGGTGACAGGACCCTTGCCAAAATGCTCTTCTAAGTTCTAGAAACATTCTAAGCTCCATTTATTTACCTATTTATTTCTGTGTTTATAAGCTGCCAAGGCTCTCTAGGTGGCATACAACAAGCAGAAAAAAACAAATGCACAGCAAAACAATAAAAAGCATCACTGAAATATAAATATTAAATTAATAATGATAACAGTTTAACGAAGATCATTCTAAAATATGTCAAGGGAAGACAGACAACCATATTAATATACTAAAATCCCAATAAAATAAACCATCTAAAATCAGTTATTAAAATAGGCAGAGAAATGTTTTTGCCTGGTGCTAAAATGAAAGCAGAGTTGGCACCAGGCAAACCTCTCTGGGGAGCCCCTTCCATACCCCTTCCATAAGTGGGGGCAGCCACCAAAAAGGTCCTTCCTCTATTTAAAATCCCTCTCGCCTCCTTAAGGGATGGCTCTTTCAGAAGGGTCTCTTGTCCAAAATTTAAAGGCCAGGAAGGCATGTATGGGAGAAGGCAGTCCTCCATGAAGCCAGGTCCCAAGCCAGTTCTGCCTTGTGAGCACCTTCCTGAATGGCTGACATTCTCCAACACACTTTTTCTGGACGTTCCCCCATCGGTGGCTTCCTCCTCCACAGTCCCAACATTAAAGATGGTTCAGTGCTGTCCCGGGGAGGGAGTAAAGACATATTTCTCCCGCCAAGTGGTGAAGATCTGTTGCGCAGGTTGGGAATCTTAAACCATTGAGGCACAGACTCTGGAAATAAATTGCACAGGGTAGTTTGAGAGAAATGAACAGGGGAGAGTCATGTTTATGATTCTTTTGAGTGTATTAGGCTAGATGCACAAGAAGGGCTGTGGGACTCGCAACTGAAAGCCTTGTCAAGACGCAGCAGATTGGAGGGAGGTGCTTATTGGTGTAAGGATCGCATTGGGAATGGCTGGCTAACATGACTCCACTCACGAGCTGAGCTGCTGAAAGCACGTTCCCAAAGCAGCTGCGCGGGCTGGAGATGCTGTTGCGTTCCAGAGGGACCGGGAGTCTTCTTCCCCATCAGAGGCCAGGGGAGCTTCAGCTTTGCGAGGAGGAGACAGTTGGCGTTCTCTGCACTGCATTCAAGCACACGGCCCCTGTGTTGACAATTGTGTGAGCAGGGAGTCCTGCCCCCGGCTCCTTTGAACAGCACACGCTGTGAAAGGAACCACTGCAAGATGGCAAAAGGGGAGCTCGGTGTCATTGCTTGGCGTTGTGTTTTGTTTGCCTGGAAGCTCTTGACTCATGCCGTTTTCAATATCACAGCAACAACCCACATAGAGGATTTGTGTGACTCTTAAATGACTTGCAGCAACCTTCTCCAGCCTGTTTCCCTCCAAATGGCTGGGGATGATGGAAGCTGTAATCCAGTGTATCTGGAGGGACCTAGGTTGGGGAAGGTGAATTACAGTGACCTCGCTGACCGATGTACACAGTGAAATATGAACCCAGGCGCTCGTTTCCCATCCATCTGCATTTCTGTCTTCAGCTGCCTCCAGTCCACCGGCAACATTATATTGTAGGAAGATCATATATCAAATGCAGACCTTTCTTTTCTTCTTGTCTGTCCACTTGCAGCCTGACCCCGCAGGCCGAGATATTTCTATTCTCCCCATTTTGGAGCACTGTGAAAACACTCACATGACCATCTGGCTTGGCATTGTTTATGCCTACAAAGGCCTACTCATGGTAAGTCTAATGGTAAGTGTAGCTAAGAGCCAGTGTGATCAGGGCGTTAGGGTAGGTCTGGTGCAGCCTGGGTGCGAGGCATGAACCTCGCTGGATCTCGCCGTGGGGGATTTCACAGGCTTGTTGGGATAAAAGGAAGAGTGGTGAGGAGCAACCAGGTGTGGTGTTCTGGGATCCTTGGGAGAAGGGCAGGATAGACCCACAGTGAAAACACATCTTTTAATTACGTGTTTTTAAAGAATAAAAATCCTGAATTAGAAATGCATGATGCAAATGCAGTGAAAGACAGAGATCTGACAATGGAAAGCCAAGCCCTGAGTAGAGACAACTCGGTCTCCTCTCATTCTAAAGACTGAGCTGAGCAAATGGGTTGTTGGCATAGGCGCCTTATTCTCCCACGTCACTGGGACAACCAGACAACCACGTGTGGGTTCCACCTATGTGATGAAGGGTATTTATGTACCATCCTAACAATATGTCCCGTTGAGTTAAGTGCCATTAGTCACAATTCAGCCAAAGTTAGGGATTTAAAGAGAGTTAAGTATGGGAATATGGTGCACTTAAGTTCTTCTGCTTAATGCCCCGTGTTTGTATTTGCATAAAGCATTTTGTAAACCATTCTGAGAGCATTAGCTAATCGAATGGTATAGAAATGCTTTGAATGAATGAATGAATGTATGTCATGGTACAAGCAGTGCTCTGTCTTCTCCAGATACATATAAATGTGCTTGTTGTGTTACCACCTTTAATTTCTCTCCTTTTTTTCCAATTTCAGCTATTTGGTTGCTTTTTGGCTTGGGAGACGCGAAATGTGAGCATTCCTGCTCTGAACGACAGCAAATACATTGGCATGAGTGTTTATAATGTAGGCATCATGTGCATAATCGGAGCAGCGGTTTCCTTTCTCACACGAGACCAGCCCAATGTACAGTTCTGCATTGTGGCACTAGTCATTATCTTTTGTAGCACCATTACCCTCTGCCTAGTCTTTGTGCCTAAGGTGAGCAAACCCATTCACAACGCACCTTATTATTTGCCTATACCTTTTTGTAGGACAATTAAATGCACTCCTGCTAGAATCCATGGGGAAGTTCACCCACACAAGCCCCAGTGAAATGAATAGGAACGGCAAAGGAACTGGATTGTGCCCATGGCTTTGAAGTGTAAGTTGAGAGCTTGTGCTGAGCAGTGGCTGGAGTGCTGGACTCGGGCTGGGGAGACTCGAGTTCACAGCCCCACTTGGCCACGAATGTTTCCAGCCATCCTTGAGTGAGTCACTCCACCTTTCGGCCTGGCCTAGCCTACCTCAGTGTTGTTCTGAAGATAAATTGTGGGGTGTGGCCAGGGAATAATTGTGTTTTCTTCCTTCAACTTCCTCTGGGAAATGTTGATACGTATGAATCAGGTGGCCTCCCCTGGGAATATTTCAGATGAGCAGACGCTTATTTTCCGGAGGGCTGCCCCATCCAGGTCCCCATGGCTTGATTCGAGGCACTAAAACTCTGTCCAGGCCAGTCCTACCCAACACAGGATGGCATCCTTTTGACCAACATATCTTGGGGCATCCGATTGTGGAAGTCTAGCTTAGGCAGCACCAGTACAGTGTCAGTGGAGTTCTGGTGATGATGCTTAATCTTGCTCTGTGCTGCTTGGATTATGACTGGAGAAATGCCTTGCAGATGTCTCTGAGCTTCAAGCTTTTCTACAGAACCCACCTCCTTTGGTTAAAAAGAAACCCTTACCACCCATTGCTACATGAACTGAATTTTCCACTGCCCCAGCTAGTCTAGTAAATAATGTCAGTCTTGAAGAAAGAGCGTCTGAAGCAAAGACAAGAACTTCTAATAAGCAGTGACAGTGTCAGCTTTCCCTTGGGGGTATGGAGGCCTGGAGGGTCCTTTATGCACTGCTCCAGGAATGCCGGAAGCAAGGCAGGCATTGTGCTTCCAGTTTCTGGGAAATGTAACACTGGTGTGGGAAGGAGTCACATCATCACCTCCTTGCATAGGAACTTGGGCTTCAGACCTAAATTTAACCGGCATGTCAAGAAATTTTTGCTAACTCTGAGGGTGGGAGGGGAATATCTGAATAACCCAAATTCACATGTATGCTAAAACTGGCTAGTTACTGCTTGAAGGCATCGCCTCAAAATACAACATTCCACATGTTGTTGTATTTTGTTCAACTCTTTCTTTTGGCACAGGCGTGGTTTATTTATTTAAAAATATTCTTCCGCTCTTTTTCACTGCTCTTAAAACTTCTAGTTAATCACGCTGAGAACCAATCCGGATGCCGCCACTCGGAACAGAGGCTTGCAGTTCACTCAAAACCAGAAGAAAGACGACTCAAAAACTTCCACCTCCGTCACCAGCGTGAACCAGGCCAGCACTTCCCGGTTAGAAGGACTACAGTCGGAAAACCACCAGCTGAGGATGAAAATCACAGAGGTATTAATTACTAGCCGTGTGCTCTGGCTAGACCGTTCTATGCCACGGACAATGCATGTTTTCTGTGTTGCAGAGCCACGAAGCAATCTGAAACTCAAAGAACTTGCAACAGATTCAGCTCAGGAGAGTCACATACAGATTCCAGTGTTACTTAGAAGCTCAGAGCAGCTGTGTGTGAGGTCCAGGGGTCCAGATTGGGCTGAGGCACCGCGAGTGGGGAGTGTTTAACTCGCTCTCCAATACGGGTCCCCACCACCAATCCATGTTGCGATTAGAAACCTATTTTCCTCATTCTCAATGGTAATGGCATTTCTTTGCTCGATCTTCTATCCTGATTGCAATCCAGGACCACTCATGTAAAATGCGGATTTGCAAGGATTCTTTCCTCCCAGTCCCTTCCCTTGTCGCATCTCGCTTTCTGGATTTAAAGCGTGGGGGCAGGGACAGTGTCTTAGTACTGATCTTCGAGCACCAGTGCTTTTTTGGTTTAAAAAAAAAAAAAAAGTGCCAGAACTCACGTCTTGGGGTCACACTTTTACACAATGGTCGCCTCCGGCAGTAAGCATTCAGCGCGCAACCACACGACTGATCCCAAGCCATGCAGCATCCCAAGCCGAGCAGTGCCCTCACAATCAGCACTGACAATCAGCGCTGACACACAAGCAGCCCGCAGGCACTATGTTAATGATTTTTGCTGCGGATCTGCTACGCCCAACAGGGCGATTCACAGTCACTTGGAAAAATCCGTCAAAAAAAGCCCTGTCGAGCACTGCTCTGGAGAAACCCACCCTCGTCCTCCTCATCGGTAGAAGTCCAGCAGGCCTCTGCCTGCCCCCTCAGACGCTCAGCCAGGGGGGCGTCCGCTCCCTCATTCACCCTCTCCGCCATGGGGCAACCTCCAAGGGGGCCGTGCCTCTGGCCCTTGGATCATCAAGGCAAGACCTTTGCAGGCCGTTATTGCCTCGAGGGGGCTGCAGTTCTGCTTCCGAGGTGCTCTCCCAGGCTTGCAAACATTAAACACTCCTCATTTGCAGGGCGCTTCACATCACGTCGTCACATTCTCTCCTTCCAGGAATGGTCCTCTGCATTCCAGGCGTTTTCATGCCTTTTTGTAGAATGAGGAAAACGCAGTATTAAATTTGCAGATGAAACCAGAGCACAGAGAGGGTTTGATGAAGTTTTCTTTTAAAAATCTGACTTACAGAGTGACTATACTGGACATCCAAACTTCCTATCTAGTTATTCGAGTTTACATAGGATTTCCAAATGGAGCATCCATCTTGGGAGAAAAAGCCTGAGTATCTGTAGCACCGAGTGCCTTCTTCCAATTCTCTCTCAGTGCTGCTTGCCTGCTTGATTGGTTTTGCCGCTGCTGCCGCTAGAAGCTGGCAGGGGTGCCCAGCAACACCGGAAATCTCTCTGGAGCTGCTATCAGAGATCACAGCCGCGTACTTGGACCAAAATTAGTGCTATCCTGCAGAAAGGCCTTCACTGGTAGGCTTCCCATTGAAGAAAGCATGACACATGAGAAACTAAATTAGGACAGGACAGCATCTTTTGGCTTCATATGGAATTTGGTCTCCACAGGCTGAGGCTGTAGTTAGCACTGATCTCTCTCCCTCCCTCCCTCCCTCCCTCCCTCCCTCCCTCCCTCTCTCACACACACACACACACACACACACACACACACACACACACACACACCGTTCATTGTTTGTACTACCTGTCAACCTACTGTGTATTATTAAACACACGGGGTTCACACAAGATGGTAACCCATGGTTGGTTATTACTCTTGACGGATTGTTGAGCCATGTAGGCCTGGACTGATGCCTGCAGGGTGGCTTGTTTGAGAGTGACATGGCCCCTGACAACCCATGGATTGTTCTAGCGGTTGTTGTATCTACAATGGGTTGTTGACGCATCCAAACCAGGGAGACCAACCCTGCTGTGATCATAGGGAATTAGCTACCAAGCACCTCAGGAAGGGGCAGCGTCTGAGACACCCCCCAGTAGGGGGTGGGAGTGAGGAGTGCAACTTAAAGGGACAAGCCTGCTTCCCTGCTCCAATGAACAAGTAGAGTCCCTCCCCAGCCACTGAAAACAGGGATGGAGGAGGCTCTTGCCAGCTGGCCCCAAGTGCCACTTTGGGCTGCCTAGGAAAGGCAGTCGAAGAGGCGGGCAAGGCCTCCTGCCTCTCTTCCGCTATGGTGGGATTGCTGACCCTCCCTACAGCCCATGGCTCACTGGGGTAGTTCATAAGCAGACAGTGGGAGGTGTGCGGGGTTCAGACAACACGCCAGATCACCATGGCTCATAAACCACCATGGCTGAACTGGTGGTGCGAACCCACCAGACGTTCTCGGGGCAGCTTGTGTGTGGTTCGTGATTCCTGTAGGTTCCGAGCAGCAGCACAAGCCCCTCTAAAACAAACCAGGATGGCAGTGCACTGCAGGTCTCCGTGCTGTGTGGATCCAGTCCGTGAGTTCTGGGAGGCTTGTTACCCACAGCAACAACACAAAATGCTGCACTGCCAAGAGTAATTGGGCAAATTGCTCCAGCTTCGGACGGGCACTCGGAGCATAATTAACAAGATGTTGCAGTTTGTCGACTGCCTGCTGATTGAGGGAATCCGGGCTCTGTGTCTCTCTCAGACAGCAGAGCTGCATGTTTTTCATTTGTTGGAAGTGATGCATTCCACTCTGCTTATTAACACGCCACGCGAGGGACCCATGGCAAGTTTTTCCACATAAACATCTGTGGGCGCCATATAGACGAAGTATAGAAGGTGCTTTTGCTGTTCGGAGCCCCACGGATCCATAACTACAAATATTTGCTGTGAAATCTCTTCTTAACAACATGCACACACAAGACGAAAAAATAACCTTGATCCATCAAGGGAGGGCAATGGAGGCTGATATCACATGCTTTAAAATCTCTTGTATATTTTTTTTCCTTTTACCAGTTGGACAAAACTTTAGAAGAAGTCACAATGCAGCTTCAAGACACACCTGAGAAGACAACGTATATTAAACAGAATCATTATCAGGAGCTTAACGATATTCTCAGTATACGCAACTTTACAGAAAACAAAGGTATGGAGCTTGGGAAGGATTTGGTGTTGCAAACTCGGTTGCCCCTTTGCCTCTTTTGTGTGAAAGGACAGCTGCTGATGTACCGTTTGTGATATCACCGCTTCGACATGCAACGTGACCATGTGCAAATTAATGCGATACGTAGGATGTGTTATGGCATGCATGTGAAAGCGATCCATTAGGGCAGTGCGTCTCAAAGGTTTCTGAACTGGGCCCCTTCTCCGCCTTCAAAACTTGCTCTACCTTGTTCCAGTGTTGGCGGCTCGAGTTGAATGACTCGTTCCCAAGTCCAACTCAAGTCGCAGAAGCGACTCGACTCAGACTCAACTCTGGAGCAAAGAACGAGTGACTCAGCTCAAGGTTTCTACTTGTGTCATGACCAAGTCACTCCGGGGCTTACAGGGCAGGTGGGCACAAACAGCAGAGGCACTGAGGGGAGGGAGCTGCAAGGGGGCGGGGCAAGATAGGGAGGAGGAGCTTGCAGTGGGGGAAGGTAAGGCTGCAGCTCCTCCTTTTGCAGGAAGGAGGTGGTGGGAGGAGGCAGGTTCAAGGCAAAGGACAGGGATTTTGCTTAAATAAATCTGAAATGCAAGGCTGCCGTTCACGAGACTGGGAAAAGCCTCCAGGTACAGTACTAGAATTAGGCCACTCCTGTGGTCACTGAGTCGTGTGCCAAAATGTGCCTCCAATCCTTAAGTGGTTTTGTCTGGTGCAGCGGGCACCCCAGCGCAGCCCCCCCTTTCCTGTGTGCACACGGCGTGAGCTCTCGGAAAACCCTCTGGCTGGCTGACTGAAAAGCCCTCGCCACTCCAGTGCACGAGGACAGGCAGAAGGGAAGGGAGGGGCCCTCTGCCGAGGTAGCAGCAACGGCCGTTGCCTGCGAAAGGGGTAATTTTGAAGCCGCTGGGAGCAGCGAAGTCAACAGAGTCTTGTAAGCAGATTCTGTTTGATCTGAGGGATCTGGAACCGAACCAGGGTTTCAGAGCATACATCTGACTTCGAAAACTTTGGCTCTTCGATAATTCAGTCGCTTTCTTCTGGAAGGGAGAGAATGAATGTGAATCAGTTGTTGGCAGAAGGATCCGGATTGTCACTTTGCGGGGCAACAGAGGAGTTTAGGGGGAAAAGATCCGGAGGTGGATTGAATTCCAAGTCGGGAATTGCAGCTTCCCCAGGGAGAGGCACAACATGAAAGGCAGGCAGGGGCAAGATGGCGGACAGTCCTCTCTTTGAAGGGCTGGCAAATGGAAGTTTTGAAAGGGCTCTTTTTAAAGGGCTGCTCAGCCTAACTCTAGTTTAATAGGGCCTTTCATTTCAGGAGGAGCTGTAGATTAGCAGGATCCAAAGCTCTCCTGTCCTCACTACATGCTTCCAGAGCACAGGGAAATGAAACTAGGCAACTCGGAAGCTGATGCAGTTTAATTCCCTCCCAATGGAATAAAGAAAGCGCTCCCAGAACTGAAAAGAGGAGGGAAAAACTCCTGCCAAATGCCTCCACACCTCTTAGTACAAGCTCAGGAAGAAATGCAAAACAGACGACCCTCTGGCTTGGATTCTCCCGGCCTACAGGAATGCTTTGCTTGTGTTACAGTTGCCACATTCACTTTGTACTTTGGAAATGCTGGAAGTGGTGAACTTTTGCACATTGCTGCGTGCAAGAAATCGGATCTCTGCCTGTTCACCCAGAGAACTGCTTTCCCAGCTGTGTGTCTGGTAGAAAACCCAACTGGTTAGGAAGGCAGAACGGAAAATAAGTGATACCACTCCTACCTACAGAACTTCTTACCAAAGGAAGCTTGTCTGATCAGCTCGAAAGTTGTTGTTAGGAAAAGAGTAAACACAAGGGTGCTCCAGCAATTGTGTTGCAAGGCTCAGAAGGATGGGTAGCAAATAAAAAGATACTATTTAATGAACAGCTGGGGTCATGGTGACCCCTGATGAAGCTTTTGCTGTTCTTCTCAATTACTTGCAAGATGTTTAAGGTTGCCTTCCAGAGTTGGAAGATGGCAGCATCCCTTGGAAGGCAGGAGTGCCAAAAAGAGGGCGGCTGACTCTGTCCTCCCCTTGCCCACCGGAGCATCGCCCCTTCAGGACCCTCACCCTGCCCAGCACTCTTCCAGGGACAGTTCTGGAAAAGCCTGCAACCTTAGGGATTTTCTGGAATCATAGGGGGTGGGGGGAGCTCTGCTTTTCCTGTAGCTGGCCAGACAGCCATCTCTACGCCACAGACTGTGCCCTGAAACAACCAGTTTGTTAATTTCTGCAAAAATGAATGTCTTCCATTGAAAAGCTGCTCGTATTTCTACTGCAAAAAGTTTCATTTCCAAAAACAGCTTAAAGAAGAAATAGCTTGTAATTTTTGGACAAGGTCTCTTGGTAACATTTTCTTTTCATCACTCCTCATTTGTCTTCGTTTCTTTTTAGTTTGCAAAAACATAAAAAATAACAATAAAGAAGAAATACCCCTAAAGATGGCCATTTCTAGAGGTGCCTGCAAGGCATTTTAATGACTGGAACTGACAGATTGCAATTGCTTGTGGATTAGGTTCTTCTGTTGTAACCCTCTCCGTGTCCCCACCGCGCACGTTTCTTGTTATGCTTTGTTTGGTTCTTAGATTTGGCTTTGGATTTCTTCCTTCCTTGTTCAATTTTTGTATGTGTCTTTTCATTAAAAAATAAAACAGTAATTTTAAAAACATGTTTCCTCTTCAGCTGCGGTAGGAGCCTTGGTGGCTCATTGGTGACCCACACATTCCAGAACAAATGATTAACTCAGAAACACTACCGACCGTTAAATGGCTCCTGGTTTTTTGCAGATCAAGTGTAACTTCCAAAATGCATTCTCAACTTGTCTGAATAATGTTCTTTTGCCTAGATGGCGAAAAGACTGTATTGAAAACCCACCTTGATCAAAACCCTCAAGCACAATGGAATACTACAGAGTCCTCCAGAACAAGCAAAGACTTCATAGAAGATATCAACTCCCCAGAACAGTAAGTAGATGGCTTTTTCTTGTGGCTTGACTTTTCTGCCCTGGGCGGTGACACCAACAGTGCCCCATCACCAAGCGAGGTGGTCTTTCCCTGGTCATTTGTTACATAATCCTGCCCCAGCATTCATGGCGCTGACCTCGCCCATCCCGCTGGGAAACCGGCAGGCAGTTACTTCCTTGGCTCTGAAAATGAGCACAAGTGAAGCAAGCAGAAGAGCAAAGCTGCGTATCGGCAGAGGAAGGCTGACCTAGGAGCCAGCGCACTCCGGCAGGGAGCAGCCTCCTCTGCCAGGTCAGCCGCCGGCCTCGTTCGGGGTTTGTAGGGCGTGAGGTGCAAGGATGCCTCGGGGGCGGTCCGGGGCGCCTCCTTCCTCGCTCTCCTGCCTCCTCCCCTTCTGCCTCCACAGCATACAGCGCCGGCTCTCCTTGCAGCTGCCGATCCTTCACCATGCCTACCTGCCGTCGATAGGAGGGGTGGATGCCACTTGCACCAGCCCGTGCGTGAGTCCCGGCGCCAGCCCACGGCACAGACACGTGCCGCCATCCTTTCGCGTGATGGTCTCCGGCCTGTAAGTGGGTGTCCGTGCTTCCCGAACTGCTTCTGGTACTCTATGGCTGAACTGAACGTGTCGTATGGGACTCTTGCCTTTTACATACTCCTTACTCTTATCACAGAGGAACTAGTGTCACGCGGCCGCCGTCGCGGGAGGGCCAGCTCCACCGCTGTGGAAAAGCATGCCAGGTGGAGAGGGTTGCCCGGAGGCCGGTCTGTAGCCTTACTCGTGGACATTTTTATTTCGTCACGAAGAAAGTCACCAAACCATGTTCCTTCCTAAATTTCTGCCAGAGGCAAGGTGGCTGGAAACAAACTGGACAAAGAACAGAAACAAAAGATCCCACTCAAGTGTCACAAAGCTTTATGCAGCTGTTGAAACATGAAACGAAACCATGTGCAAAAAAGAAAAGGCGGTTGCAACAACAGAGCTATACGAACTGAAATGGATACATCGTTTTGCAGGGATTGCGTCCGGCTGCTGGACACACCAGTAAGTTGGGCGGACATTCATTTCTGGGACTCAGTTCATGGCGGGGAGGAGTTGAGTTGTTCGGAAATGGTTCCTCAGGTACCCCTGAGCTCGGCCCAGCTCCTGTCCTCTCAAGACGTGCACGAGATGAAGGATGCTTCCGAGAGGGAGGCAGGTCAAGATCTCAGAGAGGCTGCCAGGTAGACAACAGTCTTTGCATCCATCTCTTCCTCCTGCTAAGAGACAGCAAGGAAGGATGGGCAGAGCTGGCCGGCTTCACGCAGGTGGAAAACTGGGAAGGACCGTGCCTGAGGATGGATACTTGGAAATCTTAATCTCACAGGGATGACTTGTTTCTCTCCCCCACCTGTTTGCTTGATTTAAATCACAACATAATTACAGTACAATTAATTTAGCAAGGGAGGGGTGGGCAAAGCATCCTACTTGGCCACTGTGGACAAATTCTGCAGAGGCAGAAATGGTATATACACAACCTTTGCTTCATATTTGCGTGTGTGACAGCGGTAGTTGAGAAGGTGACAGTCTGACCCAAGTTTGCCCAAGCAGGGAACAAATACCCTTTGACTGAATTAGAAAACAGAAGGAGAAAAACGGATGTGGTTTAAATAATAATTATAATCCTAATAATGAGACAGCATATTATTGTTCCTGTTGTGATTTCCATTGACAAATTATGATTTAATGTGCTCCCATACCTAAAAGCAATTGCGTTGTTAGGAAAGGGACCTGAGAGCTGAATGGAGTTTGAGTGCTTCCATCATTTCCTGGGAAGATGCGATTTTAGCAGGCATTCCTTGTGTGCGAGCCCTTCTGGGAAAGCCTATGGGAATTAGGACTGTTTGTGGGCGTGTGATGCAGGAAGGACCAGCTACCTAATGTGGGAACTTCCAGGGGCACATCTGCCTTCCTGACGGCGCAGCGGCATCGCAAGACGCCAACACGGTGTGATGTTCTCACAGCTACTTAGTCATAGCCCAGTTCAATCAGGGACGCATCTGGTGTGAGGAGGACAAGGCCCAATCGCCCCCTTTGCCCCGCACTGCAAAGAAAATGCGACAAATCTTGCATTTCTGTGCTTCTGCGAGTGTGCTTTTAAGCTGCTGGTGCTTGCTCCAGCTGAAAGACGGTGAAGATCATGGATCTATGAAAAAGCGGCATCCGTGCGATCTGGCTCAGTCTAGTCAGCCACGCTTAGGCTCTGCCTCATCACCACAGGATGCCGCATGATACGCAACCATGCAAAGCTTCAGAGCCTAGAGACAGACAAAACATTCCCCCTTGGTGTGGTACATGCGAACCATGACCACCTCCTTCCAAAGGTTTTTGTAGTGCTTTTACAATGCCTTCAAAACATTCGCACCCAAAGAAACAGGATAATGCCTCGCGTACCCCTTCCCCTCTCTTAACCGCCCTGGCCGTGTCTCACCTCGGTCCCCCTAACCAAAGGCCAGTTCGGCTGGCAACGCTGGGGCACGTCGGCCACATTCTCTCAACCCTTCCTCAATTAAAGCTTGTAAAATGGGGCACAGCGCGCACGAGGGCTGGCACCTCCTCTCACCGCAGGAATGCATCTCTCTTCCATCAACGTTGCCGGAAGCATTTCACCTTTGCGAGAGAGGGGAGCTAGACCAGCATAACCACTGCAGATGCTCCTGATTCCACCCTCCCCAGATTATCACATAAACCTAAATCCGCTGGGGCCCACCCAGCATTTCTTCCTGAACACACACCACAGAGAGGTGATGGAAGCGGCCGGAAGTGTTAAGACAACTGTGAGTAAGTACGTCGACCACACAAGAAGTAGAACACACTGCTCCATTTGCGCACTAACCACTGAAGGTGTTGTCTGGTGTGTGTGAGTGTGGATGTATGTATGTGTGTTGACAGTATTCTCTTAATTTATTAACAAACTTCATCAGGACTTTATTTAATACAAATATTACTTTTCAAAAAAGGACAATAATACTGTATATAATGTATACACAAACATTTCTGTAGAAAATATTATTCCAACATAGCAGGAAACAAAACAAAAAAAATCCAAAAGTATTGGACTGTTGGCGGTGAGTGTGTGTCTGTAACTCTTTGTGTATACTGACTGTGTGCCGTTTCTTAGGTTAAAACCATGGCAGTACATTCTTTGTCTCAAATGCAACTGTAGTTTCTCCCACAACATTTTTTTTTAAATTTCCTGCAGAAAATAAGACCCACACAGTGACTATAGCTATTTAATGTTTCTGTTTTTTATACTGCAGCAAAAACGTACTGTAAAAACTTACGAGGGTGTGGCCCAGTGGCATTTTCCAACCATGTTAGTGCACAAATGCTTTAACTTAGACTGGAACTGTCAGAATTATTTAAAAAAAAAGCAAGAGAGAGAAAGAGTACATAGAGAATTTCTTGTATACCCCTTATACTGCATGAAAATAAATTTTTAATAAATTGTTGCAAAAATCTGTTTTATTAATAAAATAGAGAAAACCTAATTAAATACTATTTGGTGGCTCTCTTATTCAGACACCCTTCCAAAACTGCAAGCATAGGAATTCTTCTCACAAGGAAAAAAAGATTTTGTCCTGGTACCCGTTGAGGATGCTTCAAGTTCCAGACTACATGCTCCATGGGCAAAAGCAGTCTCCCATGCCTGACAAAACTGCAAAAATTAGAGGCACTGCCTAGAGATACAGAGCGACTCCCCTTCTTTTTCCCATCTAGGAGAATAACGTAGTTAACTAACTTTCAAGTCCTGCATTCCAAACTATGAAGGGGAGACTCTCTTACAGCTCAGTTCTCTGGTGCCACTTTCATTTCCTCAAGTGAGCCCAGGACAAGCATTCAAGGAGTGTAAGGTCTGCCAAAACTGAGAGCACGTCCTGCTTATGGAGCAGTTAATACTGAGTAGCCTTATGGTTATGATGTTGAGGGCAGAAAGAGCTCTTGCCCTAATTATTGTTACAGTCAACGGTGGCAATTGTATAACTGATCCAACTTGTAGAATTTGTTGTCTCTTTTAGGGAAGCGGGTGGTTACAAGACATCAGGGAAGCAAGAGTCAATCTCGGTACAGCTCAGCTGGAGAAGACCCGACTCTTCTAAATTATCATCTGTGATCAAGGTTTTTTGGGGGGCATGCTCTGGGTTACATGGCCAGTGCTGGTCCCCCACCACTTCCAAGTTGAAGTATCACCCTTAAAAGTGTTGCTTTTCCACGTCTCTCACCACCCTCCATTAGGAAAGCATTTACAAGGCTGAGATTCAAACAATGCTATCATCCTGTGCTAACAGCAGCTCTTCCAATGGGATGCTAGAACATGGAAATGATCTTGAACAGTGTGGAAAGTATTGATTTATAAAGTATATCTTTATGAGATAACCCATGTAAGAGCTACAGAGAGATATTTCTCTTTGCGTTAATGACCTTTGACACAAGCTGGTCTAATTGGAGGATAATCTATATTTTAAGGGTCTGATGTATTTTTTACATACAGAGCAACATGATTCACGGAAGCATCCAGACAATAGCCGAGAAATGTAAGAGGAGATATCAACTACTTTAAGAACCAGAATGCTCTACTTTAAGAGCTTGCATGTTTTAGCAGGTATCTTGTCCTATTCCTTATTAAAATTACATTATAGAGACCAGTGGCTGTCCACAAAGTAGCCTTAGACAAAGAGGCATATTTGCATCCACGTCAGAGATCAATCCATCACGTTAGGCAGAAGCCCGATGAACAGAGAAGTGCATATACGCAAATACATTTACTGGGCACGCTGTTTTCCTACACTGTAGGCATTGGTACGCATGCAGCCTTGTGGTTTCGCTGGGGGAGCCGCAGATACAAACTGACGAATATAAGGCAGCACTAGCATTCTACATATGCACAAAGCCAGGGCGACTTAATTTATACTGTTTTATAGGATTCTATTTATGGTTGTGAGCCGCCCCGAGGCTTTGGCGAATGGGGTGGCATAGAAGTTCCCTAAGTAAGTAAGTAAGTAAGTAAGTAAGTAAGTAAGTAAGTAAGTAAATAAAGTTCCCAAGCACCAACGGAAATACCAGGAAAGAAAAATACTGGCTTAGCAGAGCAACTGTCAGCTCTGGAATATGAGCAGCAGATGTCCTCAACTGGAACTCCAGGACCAGGGGTGACAGACGAGGACGGAGAACTTGGCAAGATGTTGTAGGGCCAAAGGCGAAAATGCAGCCCAAATAAAGCAAGATCATATAACATCCAGGCATGGCCGGAGCAGAGGTGAAGGCAGATTTAAGGACAAGTGAGGGTCAGGATACCCAGCAAGGCATGATGAGACCAGCAGTAAAGGCAGAGCTGGAACACGAGTGAAGACAATGCAGGACCTGAGGCCAAAGCCAAATCAGGAACAGGACTGAAAGTCTTTTCTAGAGCCTCCTGTAGCTCCCAGCAGGTCTAGAGGAGTCCATTAGTCCTAACCCTGCAAGGAGCTACAGCTCTGGAGCCAATTCTGCAAGTAGTTTGAGGTGGACCAGGCTGCATCACTCTGCAAACCTTGGTAGTAATCCCAGAGGGTACATCGGCATGCTCATTATCACACTGCTGCACAGGATGAACTGCGTGCCTGCTTTCTTACTGTGCATTGTTCGCAAGTGCAAAAGATGCTTGAATCAACCGAAGACTTCTTAATTCTCCTTATAGGTACTAGAGAATACCAGCTCTCTGATCTTTGAGTTTGGAAGTTTCTTCCATTCATTTAAGATATTTTTACCATGCCTTTTCTAAGAGCCCCAGGGTTATTTAAACTATTGCATAGTAAGTACTCAAGGGAATTTGCAGCTCCTCAAATATTCTTCAGTAACACAGCTTCCCATTTCTGTAGGCTACATTCTAACACCCACTTGCCTGTCTGTGTAGAGCTTTATAGGACTGTGCCGTTAAAAATACAGGCAGTCCCCGGGTTACGAGCGTCTGAGTTACAAACATCCATACTTCAGAACAAACTGCCAGAAAGCGTATTAAGTGAAATTACTGAATTAAAGATGAACAGTTCGTAGTAACAAACACAGAAACTTTTGGAGTTCAGCAACCTGCTGTGGGAAATCCTCACCAGCACAGAGGGAGGGAGGCCTTCTTACCCCATCCAGAGAAATCTTTCTGGCATTTCCAAAGAGGAAGTGCTGGTGAGTGAAAGGGAGGGCCAGAAATAAGAACATAGGAATGTAATAAATGAAGAAGAGCAGCCCTTCTGGATCAGAGAGAGAATGAGGGAGAAGCAATCCAGGACATGTATGGTCAACATTATTAAAAGTTAAGGCTTTGGGGGTGGGAGCTAGAGATACTTGCTTTTCTCCACTTTTATAGGAGTCCTGTGCCCCTACCCCTGCAAACCAGGTGGCCAAGGGCTTCTTGAAGGGTTTCCATGCATAGGGAGGAAAAATAAAGACATCCTCGGGGAAAGAACTTGTTTTTAACCCAGGGACTGCCTGTCTGTTCAGTTTGCAAGTTGCATTCCCTAATACATGATGGAGAACACTACTCCTCCAAGACATGTTAACCTAGATTTTCAGACTTCAGTCCTGACCTCAAAGGAGCATTTGAAAGCTATTTTTGCTATGGAAACTACTTCTTGGATATATTACTTCAACATCCACCTCCCTGCTCACAGATAGGTATTCACTGCTCACATCCAGGGCTTGTTTTTGTTTTGAAGCGCAACATGTTCTATAGCAAGAGGAAACATCATTCTGAACACCAGATAAAGTACTAACTCTTAAGAGATGTAAAATTTGCTAGGGTCTTGCGGTTTGGGGCGAGGGGGTAGGTTTAGCTGAGATAACGCAAAATATGTTCAACCTGGACAAATGCAAGACTGATCAGTGTTCTGGTTCTAGAAGAGTCAAGCCACCCCCTGAAAAGCTTAAATTATATAGATTTTTGTTAAAAAAAATACATTCCTATATAATTGTGTTGGCGCATATTTACAGCAGATGCTACTCACCCATGTTTTTGCTCTCTGTGCTGCCGTTTCCGCACTTGGTTTTCCGGGCGAAGGACTACCAGTGCACATGTCTTGAAACGAGTGCCTCTTTAAAAGTTCACATCCACACACTGGAATGTGTGTGATTCCCCCTTCCGATGCCTTCAACACCTTGCGAGGCTAATGCAAACAGTGTCCATTAGCACATGCTTGGAGAAAACTGCCGGGAACTCAGCTGAAAACCACAATGGCTAAAGCATGAAAACTGTTCCTGTATACATGCTGAATACTCCTTACAGGGTGCAGAACACATCAAGCAAAAGCCTTGAAAAATCTTGGTTAATTCAGGGCCTGCTGATAGAGCTAGGGTCAACAGCCCCTTGTCAAGAGAGATGGCCTCACAGCTATGCACAAAAATTCGGGTCATTTTCATTTATGGCCATGCAAACCTAGGACACCCGGGTGGAGCTGGTGGGACTGGCAGTGGTTCTCCACAGCCCGTAGGTGAGATCTTTAACTGAAGGTACATGGGATTGCACAGGACACCCTATGAATGGAAAGCTGTTTCTAAAAACTGTCCAAGGAGAGGCAGAGAGGATGGGACTTGCGGAGCAGCAACAAAATGCATCATGCAGAAGAGAGCCAGCAAGAAAGTAAGTGCCATTCTTACCTTTCCCTCCGTGATGAAACTTCAGGTGATGTGTGCTGGGGCTTCTCCCACCCACACCGGCTCCATTTCGTGAAGGAGTTTTGTGGGCTGCGGGGCCGCTTGGGGATCTTCCTGTGACGTCGTGCACCACCCAGCAGCCCCGTGCCTCTCTCGCAACGGCACCCGCAGCAGCCGCTCTTCTGCATGGAGAAGCTCCGCCACCACACCACGCCTTTCAGCGGACGAAAAGCACGCGCGTTTTCACAAGAGGATTGCATTGATAAACTGCTTAAAAAGCGAGCATTCTACTGCGATAGGTTTTAGGAACAACGGAATCTTTTCTCCAATGAAGTCCGAATCGGGTGACTTGCTTCTTGCACAAAAGGGCAACCATGTTCCACTGGTTAAGAAAACCCTCAAATAGCAACAGCTTACCGCAACCTTAACATTTCTCTTTGTACCTGGGAATAAGAGTTGCAAAGATTTTCAAAGACAATTTTAAATCCTAACGTCGTTAGGAATCGCGCCAATTCAGAGCATGCTAACACCAAGGACTTTTAAGCTTGACATGTATAAAAGGTAAAGGTTTCCCCTTGACGTTAAGTCCAGTTGTGCCTGACTCTAGGGGGCGGTGCTCATCTCCGTTTCCTAGCAGAGGGAGCCAGCGCTTGTCCGCAGACGGTCTCCGTGGTCATGTGGCCGGCATGACTAAACACCGAGGTGCACGGAATGCTGTTACCTGCCCACCGAAGTGGTACCTTTTTATCTACCTGCATTTGCATGCTTTCAAGCTGCAAGGTTGGCAGGAGCTGGGACGGAGCAATGGGAACTCACCCTGTTGTGCAGATTCGGACCGGCGACCTTTCGATCAACCAGTCCAGCAGCTCAGCGGTTTAAACCACATGTATACAAAATATGCAAAAAATTAAAAATGCACATGATGTATTTACAAAAAAAGGAGGAAGGGGGATAAAGCTGCTTGCCTTCTCCCAATGTGATCCTTCTATGTAGGTCAGTTCTAGGAGGATGGGACTCCCAAGAAAGGCACTAAGGGAAATCATGCATTCAACTTCTGTGAATTTTCATATGAGGAAAGACCATTAATAAAGCACACAAAAGTACATCTGGCTATACAAATCCCTTGATGCTTATCCAAAACATTTAATAAATAATCTCAAAGTAGATTGTGTCAGATGCCACAGCTTTCAGGACTGGAAATGCATTTTTTCCTTTAGAAAACAGTGGATATCCAGACATGCCAAGAACCTGGCCAAGAGCACTCATTTAAAGGTGGTCTCTGCGAATGTTGAAGATCTTGACGGCAAAGTCAGCTCCACAGCTCGCTAGCTGGAGCCAGTCGCTGCTCCCGGGCGGGTCCCGCCCAGCTCTGCCTGCACGGCTTCTCCAGCACAGCCGCTTGACGACAAGATTGTGGCTCTGGCTGCAACAAAGGCAGGAGCTATTAGCGAAAGGAAACCCAGCTCGTCTCTCGCAACCGCAAAATGTCAAACTCAGTTGGACTTTGTCGATTTAAAACGTCAGCATTTATCTAATTAGCGTGCTCCTTTTCAGCACTGTCGGCTCGGAAAAATTAAAGTTGCCACTTGCCTGCAGGTATTTAAGATGCCAAAGCTCTTAGCAGCGCTAGTGACATTTCCTCACTTCATCCTATCAATAATTCAGAGAGGGATCTACTTATTTTCCCTGTAATTTCAGGTCAAATATCACAATTAAGGACAGCCAACAGAAAGCTACTGGAGAAAGACATCAGCTCAAAGCAAAGGCTGCATTTTGGGGCGCTGCCAACTGTACTCGGGTGTTCAGGGGTTCTCTGGGGCCCCAGGCTGGTGCAAAAGGTCGTTACAGCGAGACAGTCTCAACGCCTGGCTGGCACAGCAAATGGTGTGACGAGACCGAATTCCCAAGTTACTTGCCCAGTTTCTTACTGTGTTTTGAACACAGATGTGATCTTCCTCAGAGGTAACTACTCGATTCAAAGCAAACACCAGGGCTAGTTGGCACTCTTCCGGCTTGCTCCAGAGTGCCAGAACTGCGCAACTCCAACTGGCATTCTGCAGCTTTGAACGACTACAGGATTTCATGCCCGTTCCACAAACCAGACCCTGTGAGCAGCGTGCATGGCAGTTCTTGGGTGTGGGGGGCAAACAGCCAAATCCTAGAAGTGGCATCCTTGGCATGCTGCGACTGCTGCTCGGTGCAACCGCACCCAGCATCCCAGCTGGCACCGGGAAACGCAGCGGCACCCCTGTCTGCTTGGGGCAGCAGGCCAATGCCTTCCCCAGGCAGTTCTCCCTGTGAGTGAACGACCGGCCCAGCCCTCCGGAGGCTGGGGGAATGCCCGAGGGAGGGGAGGGGGAGGAGGGAAGGAGGAGGGGCTGGCGCGGCAGCCGGGATGGATGGGAAAGGGATGAGGCCCCGGTGGCAGCAGCTCAGCTGCAGTGAGCAAGAGGAGGACGAAGGAGGCAGCGTACCAAGATGGAGTGGGAGGGTCTTCAGAGTCAGGCTGTGCTAGTGGGGATGCGCAACGCTGGGAGGAAGTGTGCCTGTGCACCGTGGGCCGCACGTGTGGTGTGACCGCGGAGCTAAGCGACTCGCCCAAAGGAAGAACAGCTGTGGCTGGCTGGCTAGGCAGCCCTCTGGGCCAGGTGAAGTGAATGGAAAAGTTAATGACATGGTGAGAGACGCCAACGTTTACGGTCTCGCTGGGCGGCCGCAGTGCAGCTGCGGCGGCAAACGGAAGCTCAGGTCGGCCTGGGCACTCCGAGCGTACAGGCTCTCCTGTTAGAGACCCGCCTTTCCCCGCTCCCCAAGAAACGTGGGCAGATGGCACAGAGGAAGGTCTGGCTCATTCCTGCGAGTACATGGCTTCGCTGCACACGGGGCCTTGCACGCTTCTCCGCCGCTTACATGCTGAGCTGCACTGTGGGCCACGGAGGAGGCCTGCAGGTGGCCCTTTCCACGAGGGTCCCTGGGCGACATCTGTGAGCAGCCGTGTGGTGCTTGCAACCTGGATCCGTGCTTGGGCGAAGCCCGGACTGGAGAGGCAGGAAAGGCGGACACCTGGTGCCCGGCGGGGTGCTGCACGCGGCCTCCGGCTGCCTGCTGAGCCCGGCCTGCTTGGCTTCTTGCTTTGCTCTCGGCTGGTAGCCGGAACGAAGCTGCTACTGGCAGGGGAACCGGCTCTAAACAGGAGTACCGTGGGGGGAAGAGGTTTCGACCTCACCTCCACCTGGCAATCCCAAAGCTGAGCTCCCTAACACTTCGCTACAACGAGCAGCAGGAAAACAGCAACCCGGACCAGGAGGTGAAAGGAAAGGCCGGCAGAAGGCAGGATCGCTGGATTAACCTCCTCAGCCCGGCAGGTGCATTCCTTGATCTCGGGAAGCAGGAAGGGGACGTTTAAAACCGTTTGCAGCTGAGTTTGCACGTGTGGAAACTCACACTCCACTTCCCCGCTGTGGAATGCAAGGGGGCGTCTATGATCCCCTCCTCTCCATTTTGTCCTCACAACAACCCAGTGAGGTAGGCTAGCCCAAGAGCCAGTCACTGCTCCGAAGTTGCCCAGGGAGCTTCGTGACCAAGCGGGGTCTGGGACCCAGGCGCCCAATTCCAGCCCCACACTCCAGGGACATGTGCCTGTAGTTCCAGTCCTACCACCCAGCACGGCATTTAGCGTTCGAGGCTGAAAAAGCAGCTCTTCCCTGCTGTGCACATACATTTAAATAGCGCAGCTGTAAATTCCAGAAAGCCAAACCAAAACCTAGTTCAGCTTTACTTTGAAAGCCTCACTTTGAATTTGAACTGGAAATTCAAGGGAAGGTCATAGGGGGCTGTGCGCACTAGTCAAAACGAGGATGCTTTCTGCAGAGACGGAAAACCTCCATGGGAGACCCTGTCTCAGACGCTGCCCCTGCCACACCACCTGCCCTCCTCTTCTCCCTGCCTGCCCTCCACATCTGTGGGGATTGTGGGGAGTTCTTTTGCGGATTGTGGGGATTGTGGGGAGTTCTTTTGCGGAGTTGGTGAAAGGGCTGCGGTAGGAAAAGGCACTCGCGACAGTGGCATGGAAGGCCCAAATGTCGCTTCAATCCTCTGCCCTCTGGCAGGGCTGAAAAGCACATAGGGCGGAACAGGGTCTGCTTGCCTGCCGCAGTGCCGCAACCTGCTGTGTAGCAAATCACTGGCAAAAGGTCTGGTGGGAAAAGGAGAAAAAGACACCGGAACCGCCCCCCCCCCCCCACTGACTGCCCTGCCCAACCCTTCTGGGTCCCTCTCTCCAGGAGCACACATTAAAATTGCACGGGTGAGTTGCAAAGAATTAGGCAGGCAGCGTTCCCCGGGACCTCAGATACACAGGCCTCGACTTGCAGATACGACGCCCTGATTAGGACAAGTACGTGCCTGATTGCCACCCCAAGAATTCAGTTAAAACGGCACTCAAGCTAATCTCCCTCATCAGACATTCGCATCCACTTCCTTGGCATGCAAAGGACATTTAAGGTCTTCAGTGCAGAACCTGCCAGCCAACTGAGCCGGAGCAGTTTTAGCAAGAGCTGAGCCGGAGCCAGAACTACCCCTGGGCGAACAGGATGGCTCGGGCCATTTCTGCACCCCCTAAGAGCGAGAGGGTCCGGCTTGGCTGTCTGGAAGTGGAAGAGCAACACTGCAGCAGCGAAGCGGCTGTTTCCGAAATGAGCGGGAAGGACTCGGCTGCACAGCCACCCTGAACACCACGGCTCTATTAGCTGTCCTCTGGTGCCCTCCACTCCCAGGAACGCCTGCGGAAATGTGGGCACTCCTAGCACTGCTCCGCTTCTCAAGGGGAAGGGGAAGGGGAAGGGGAAGGGGAAGGGGAAGCAAGCAAGCAGGAAGGCCAGCCCCTATGAGCAAAACAGCTGACCACGGATTGTTTAAGACAGGGAGCAGTGCCTTGCACACGGCCCGATGACTGGGTTCAGACAGCGCCACAACCCACACAGAGCTGAGTGTGGGTTTCCACAAGTGCACACACACACACACACACGACCTACACTTCAGCACACAGGTCCCACAGCACCCCTGCTCCCTGCAGAGGTGAGGCAATGGGAACGGTGGGAGAATTTACAGTGCCTGTCCTGGATTGCACAATGCGAGAAGCCAAACCGCCCTGCTGTGGCTTCTGAACCCAGAGTGGGTTTTAAGTGTGGGCTGCTTCCGCCCCAAGGCCTGGTGTCTTGAGTCCGACTGGCACTGCAGTCACTGGGAGAGGACGAAGCTACTCCAGCCACCCAGTCCCACCGATCGCGGTTTCCCATCGAAGGTCTGCCCATCGAAGGTCTAAAGCAGCCTTCCCCAACCTTCTGAGGCATTTGGACCACGACTCCTGGACTCCCGCCCTCCCTCGACTGGGACTCCTTGGCGTTGCAGTCCAAGCGTGTCTGGAAGGCACACGGTAAGGGAAGGCTGGTCTGAGGAATCGTCACAGAAGTCCGGAGGGGTCGCACGGGGCCAAGACAAGAATGCTGCCACAGCCAAAATACCAGGGCAGTCATGAAATAACGGCTGTGTCTTTCACGCAGAAGAGGTCCAGAGCGGCTTACCTGTCGTCTGTCTCGGCACATTTGGTCCAATCGGAAAGCGGGTTCCATTTGTACAGGTAAATCTTCCCACATTCTGTTCCTACTGCAATGATGTAGCTACAAAAAAGGATAACCTGTCAATTATTTAAGCGAGTCCTTCACCTAGTGGTGTATGCTTTCGTTTTGAGCCACGTTCTGTATCTTAAGCCTCCGCTTCCCATTCTATTCAAGAGAGCACGAAACAAGATGCTGCAAAGCCTGCCTGTATCGGGTAGTGCAAAGACAGCTGTGCTTTGCTCTTTCGTTCAGAGAGGCCGTGATTCTGAAATATCATCATACCTCACAATCATATTAAAATTCAAAGCATTTGGATATGTAAGAGCTTCCATAGGAGAAAGCCATCTCGGCAACTTAGTATAAAGCTTTCACTTTAGCTTTTCCCAGACCGACATCAATGAGTTTCTAACATAATGACTTAAAAAGTAACCATGTGTCTTGCGTTTCTCATACCACATATAGGCATGCCATCCCATTGTAAATCATGTCCTTCAAGGTGTAAAATTCTCTTACTTCTTAGAGTTATCCATTCTTTTAACCACATTAAAGCACAAGCTTGGTGGTATAGCATCCAATCAGGAAGACCAAAGCCCCCATTCCCTTTGGCTCCTGAAGCATTTTTAATTTAATCCTTGGTTTCTTCTTTTGCCATATAAACCCTAGAATTTGGGTATTTAAATCATCCAAAAACTTTTTATCAATTTTTATAGGAATTGTTTGAAATGGGAACAGAAGTTTTGAGAGAGGCCGTGATTCTGAAAAGTCCAGCTTCCCGGAATGGACCCCGGCAGCCTGGAGACAGTGATCCTCCGCTCGGAGGACTTCAGCTCGGGCAAAGTCATCTCTATCTGCTTCGCCACCACCCACCTTTGTCACCCTTCATAAGATCGATTTGTTGCACTGTTTCCAGCACTGCTGCCTTTTCTTTTCCTGTAGCAACCAGGCTGGGTGTTTTCCGCACAGCCAGACAGGCATGCCTGCTTGGACAGAATATTGTGGTGCTGAAATGCACAGAAGCTTTTCTTTTTTCAGTGCAGGGCCACAGGAAGGCAACTGCAGGATGCTGCAAATTCTGAGGATGCACAGAAATTGGGGGCAGGGGGAATGGATGGGGCAGGACACAGCGGAAAGGGTCCATGTGAGGAAAACGATGGGCAGACTCGGAGAGGGAAGAATGAAGGTGAAATCAGGCCGTGAGTGCCTGGGGGCTCATGCGTATACAGGGCTGCTGTCAACCTGCCGCAGACAGTCTTTATTTACCCAGCTCCAATTTGCTGACAGCCAAACACCATGATATTTCATTTACTAGATGTTGCAAAGAAGGCATGGATGAGCTAAATGACCCCTGGAATATTTCGTTCAACCCTAAAGCCTTCATCATGCTCAAGGAAGGCCTGAGTCTATTTATGTGACTTTTTAAAGCACACACAGTCTCATTAAGGTGCAAATGGTAAGAAGCGCTTGCAGAAACGCGCCTCAACGGCACCTCCTTGAAACTTCAGCCCCTCCCTGCTTGTGAAGGCGCTTGGGTACAGCACCTGCTGTGGTGCCCTCGGATGCAAACTTTGCACTGCCAGGGGCAACCCCAGGGAGGAGAAGGGGCAGGAAAGGGGCACAGTCGGGGTCCCCCTGGACAACCCTTAGAAGCAGAGTGCAAGCTGGAATGGGAAATGCCGATCAGCACAGCCGCATGAGGCACTTGCGGCCTGGGTCCGGAAAATCACTCCGTATGGCCCGTCCTTCCGCAGAGCGACATACCTGCCATCAAGAGCGAGCACCGGGCTGGCACTAACGGCCGTGACAGAGACCCCCACGTCCAGGACCGGCGAACACGGCTGGATCAGACATGGCTCGTTCTCTTTATTCTCCTCTGAGGAGCAGCATTTGCCCCAGATGATGACCTGTTTGAAGTGCAAAACAGACTCGTGAAACTGACACGCGGCCTTCAGGGCTGCAGGCCTGGGCTGGGTGGGAGTCCTCGCTTTGGCAGCACCTCCTCCCCCTCCACTGTCTTGGGTGAGAGAATTGAACTGCTTTCCATCCACGAGGAAAGGGAGTTCGGGTGAACGCAGTACTTTCAAGCCCTGTTTTTCTCCCCTATTTTCCCCCTTTTCTGGGTCCGAGGTCATTGTGAACTGCCTGGGGTATACAGATCCATGCATGCCACTCAGAAGTGGTCAGCCATAAAACAAAATCCAACGAAATAACATACAGGCAAGCAGCAAAGGCTCATGAATTTGCTTCAAGCACAAGACCTGCTTTTGGGAGACTCGTCACCCCTTTTCCTCTGCTAAGAACCTGGAAAGAGGCAAGATGGCTTTCCAGTGAGCTATTTGCAGGGTGCAGCAGTGGGGCGCCGGACGCACCTCCTGCAAAAGGCCAGCGTTGAGAGCAAAGGCCTCTCCTTTCCCTACACTTGACACAAGACGTGGGGAAGGGAGGAACGGGGTGCACGCAGTTAAGGGCTCGCTAGAAAGCCAAGGCGACCTATATCAGCCTTCCCCAACATGGTGGCCTTCCGAGGCATTCGGACCACAACTCCCAGCATTCCCATCCAGCAGGGCCATTGTCTGGGAATTCTGGGTGCTGCGGTCCAAATGCATCTGGAAGGCACATGGTTGGGGAAGGCTGGTTAGCACTTAGCAAAGAAAACAAGCTGGCTGCATTGCAACTTCCAGTAACCATGTCCTCTGGCACCTAATAGTACAAAAGTGGAGTGGCAGAGTCCCGGGTCTTTTTGATTAGCAGGGGCAAAGATATCCTCTGCCGCCTGCCCACTGGTCTTAAATGGGCACTCAAGAAGTGCCAGCTTAAGAAAAGACACTCCTGGCAGAGAGGAAAGCATTTAGGATGAACAGGGCTGCCGGTTCCCTGGGGGCATGGCTCGGGACTTACCACAAGAACCAGCACTTCCAGCATTTCGTACTGCTAATGATGCCTTATCAAAGCGAAAGAAGCACGTGCTGGAGCAGGACTGCAGCTGAACGTTAAGAAAACGAACACCACGGCTACAGAAGAACTGCAGAACTTTACTGCCGATAATGAAAACGCTGAAATTGTGCAAGATTTGGCACAGCTTGGTTCAGTCGTCAATTCAGACAGAGGCTGCAGCCAAGAAATCTGAAGAAGATTGAGTTTTGGAAGGGAAGCGAGAAAAGACCGTCAAAGGTAGGAATGCTTTAGTTGAGACCAAGGCCAAATCCACACCGCCGTATTCCCAATCACTGTGGATCGGTGTGCGACTGGACACTGAAGAAAGTGACAGAAAGAAAATGGATGCAGCTGGGACATGGTGCTGGGGAAGAGCCTTGTGAATACCCTGAACTAACAGAACAACAAGTGGGTCACGGATCACGCAGGCCAGAGCTTTCCCTAGAAGCAAAAATGACAAAACTTGAGGCTGCCATGCTTTGGACACACCATGAGAAGGGCAGACTCCCTGGAGAAGACAATCCTGCTAGGGAAAGCTGAAGGCAGGAGAAGAGGAAGACCAAAGAAGAGATGGAGTGGATCCATAGAAGAAGCTACAGCCTCAAATTTAGAAGAGCTGAGCAGGACTGTCATGGAGAGGCCATCTTGGAGGGCTTTCATGCATAGGGTCACCGTGAGTTGGACACAACTTGATGGCACATCACAACGAGAACCAAAAGACAGTGCAGTGCATTTTACAGAGAGGAGCACGCAACAAGGTGGGCTTGCGCCATGTACCGGCATCTTTGCCAGTCTATATGTCACAGGATGCTGCTGGTTTATGGCACCCTGAAGAACCATGCTAGCTCAGCCATGGTTACCCTGTAGAATTCTGTCTTGGTGATTACATGAAATCAAAGGTAGGAAACATTATGGTAGAGACAAAGAGAATTGCCCAAGTATGGACAGTGACCGATGAAGCTGCCATCACTGGCAATAACGCCCAGGAGATTAGCTGCTGCCTGCATTCACACGCAAAGCAAAGCATGTTTGCCCATGGGCTCCCTGTGCGGTCGCTTCTCTCCTTTATGGAATGGCTACAACTAGTGCAGGCTTGGAAACAATTCAGAAGGCAGCAGAGGAGGAAGTAACACTGCCCGTCTAACACAATCCCAGTAAAGTCACAAACCTGGTAAGGTGTTAAACGAGGCAAAATGGAAGGACTGGCTTGATCAACTCAAACAATGAGAAGTAGTGAACTGTTTGCCACTTTGCCATGGTGCAAAATGAATGTTCGGGCTTCCTGGGGATCTGGAGTTAGAGGAAGAACAGAAAGTTCTCCAGGCTTGTGAGCTGCAATTCTAAAATGTTTGCTGGGGTGATAAAACCCGCAGAACGGTGGATTTGCTTAAGCTCTGTGAAAGCCACTGCCAGTAAGCAAACGCCGTACAAAAACACAGAAAGCTCTATTGTTGCACAGGAAATGTATAGGAACCAGGATTAAGTGATCAGGATTACTCTGCAAACCATCTTTACAAGACCCAGAAAGAAAGAACTACTGTGGGAAACAGCAGAGGGCTTAAGGAAGGATCACTAAGCGTATGGCAGATGCTACATGTGCACAGGGACATGTGCAAAGCAGTATCTTGTTATAGACCAGGGCACATAAATGCGGCAAGTTCCAAAGCTCTCGCTCACTTTGTTTGCCGCGAGGCAAACGCCACCCTAAGTAGGGGCCGCAAAACCTGTCAACATGTGAAAGGACAAAATGGCAGCCGAGTGACTCACTACTAAGGATGTTTTCTGTAGTCTGATAATCCAGCCATCATCCCTCATTCCCACCTAGAATGAGACCTTGGAACCTGAGCAGCTGTAGGCACACATTCATTCCTTGCTATTCGCGCATTTCTCATCTCCCTCCGTTCTCTGCCAAACTTTGGGCTGTGATCTTCCTAGAACAAGGACCGCTGATTTTCTCTTGTTTATGCTGCACAAGCCTCATATACACTGACAGTGCTGTACTGATCAGCAGCAGCCTGGCAACGAAACTCGACATACCAAGAGTTCTTGGCACCTGGACAAAGCTGGAGGCAAGCTGCAGTTCTGCAGGCATGCAGAAAAGATGAGGGGGGTTGAACCAGGCGCAACGCTTCAGCTTCTGGGAATTTCAACTTCCATTAAGAAACACGTTTTTTAAGTCCTTATAATTGCAAGTGTGTATGTGTGAGCATGTGTGAACAGTGTCTTGTAAGGGTGTGGAATGGGCTTCCACGGGAGGTGGTTGAGGCCCCATTGGTGAGGGTGTTCAAGGATAGGCTGGACATGCACATGGTGGGCATGTCAAGAGTATTGCCAGGTGGAGCCGGGGGTCAGACTAGATGGCCCGGGAGACCCCTTCTGGCTCACTCTGTTTCTATGTTTCCAAGATCTCAAAAGCAACGCATTTCTAGTAACCAGGGATGGGTATTCCCCATTCTCCCTTTGCAACAGACCTGCGAGGTAGGTTAGGCTAAGAAAAAACAATTGGCTCAAGAGGGTTTCGCAGCTGAATCAGATTTCAGCCAAGGCCTAGTCCAGTGCTGCCTCATAGGAACAATCAGAATGAATTGTGTAAAATAAAGAACATTTGCATATTTGGGTAATGTATAAAAGCTTTCATAAATTTAGCTTCTCTTAACAGGATCAGGTGTCAGACTGAAAACCAATTACCCTTTTCAAAGTACATTATTTTCTTCTTAGGGTTTTGCTTCTTCATGTAACACTCAGCAAAACGAGGCGGTAGGAAGCTTCCTAAATAGCTGAAGCCATTGTGCAAGTCCCTGTACAAAATCAAGTGCCAAATCTCCTTTCACCAACTACAGACAAGCTAACAGGGGAAGCATTTGGTGCAAAACTCCTTCCTCTCTTATCTAATACACTGAGCACCTTTCCTCCATGGTACAGCAGGTCATTCAGTAACGGAATATGCAAATACTAAAATAAGTATCCAGGGTCCACATTCAAGGTGCACTGAATTTACAGCAGTCTAGACTTCTAAAGATACATGAACAATAACACATTACACAAATATGTATATACATGTGCGTTTAGTTCTCACACCAAAAAGAAAAGGATTCTTCTTAAATGTTCTGTGCATTTAATTATGGTTTTATGAATGGTAAGCTACCCTGGGCCCCTCCTTTTTAGGCAAAATTGTGGGGCGGGAATGTTTTGAATAAATATAGATTAAATTGTGTGGATTCCATGTATGTAACTGGGTAGGGATTACTGATAATTTACAAATGAGACCTCCCAACTGGGACTTCCCAACCTAAATGAGACTTGCCATTGGGATGTTTTAGATTACAATTCCCAGCATCCTTGATCACAGGCCATGCTGGCTGGGGCTGATGGAAGATGAAGCCTAAAACATCTACAGTTAGATAATGCTGGCTTACATGCCTGTAAAGATGCAAACAAAACAAATCCTAGGATCCGAACTGCATAAAAATTCATCTCTGCTAAGTCAATTACATATTGGAGGGTAACAAAAAGGATTCAGGGACTGGAAACTCTGCCCTGTGGGCAGAGACAGAGAGAACCGGGCATGTTCAGCCTTGAGATGAGAAGACTGAGGGGGGACATGAGCTCCCTCTAGAAGTACCTCAAAGAGGAAGGTCAAGATCTCTTTCTTGCTGATGCCGGAGTGTAGGACATGGAATAATGGATTCAAGTTGCGACAACCCAGATTCAGGCAGGAAAAGCTTCCCCACTGTCAGAGCAATACAGCAGTGGGACCAGCTGCCTGGAGAGGTGGGGGGCTCTCCCACGCTGGAGCCAGTCAAAAAGAGAATGGACAGCCATCTGAGTGCGATGGTGTGACCTGGTGTCCTGCAACAGCAGGGGGTTGAACCTGAGGGCCTTCTTCGCCCCTTCCAACTCTACTGTTCTATGATTCTATGACCTATCTCAAAGTAATCCTAAGGTACAGTGTAAACCACTGTTTTGTGTTGTGAGCCATCCTGAGGCTGTGCAGCAATGGGGACGGCATATAAAAACTTTAAATAAACAAACAAACCAATGTAAACCATTTCCCAACACACCCACAACCATGCCAAACTGCAGCCACAAAGTTCTTGCCCGCTTCAGTGATTCTAAAAAGAGAAAACCTTGGGAAGATGTTAGGGCTTCTCTCTTGTTCTAGCCTCCAGCCTTGCTCTTGCACTTCCTCTGGGCTCTCCCCCCCCCTGGGCCTCATTATTCCCCCTCCCCCCTAGCCCCCAGCCTCACTATTTCTCTCCCCACCACCCTGGACCACCTCTTTAACTCATCTTTGAGCAGCCAGCTCTCCCCGGCAGCCATTACAGTGGTACCTTGGCCCACGAACTTAATCCGTTCCAGGACTTTGGTCGTTACCCAACTGGTCATGAGCCGAGCCAAATTTCCCCATAAGGGTCAATGTAAATAAGGTTAATCCGTTCTGCAACTATCTTTTTTTTTACCCACAAAAATGTGAAGCAAAGTGCTAATGAGCAGCAATTGTGTGTGTGTGTGTGGAGGGAGAGACTGGCGCAATCACGGGCACGCTGGGGGGCAGCGGGCACGGGCACAATTGCGGCCATCTTCACCCCCCTCCAGCACGACCACGATGGCGCCCATGCAGGGAAGGCAGGCGGGCTCGTGATCATCACCCGATGCAGAGTTCGCAACCTGTGGCAAAATTTTTATGAAATTCCTGTTCGCGACCCAATTTGGTCATGGACTGAGGCGTTCGTGAGCCGGGATACCACTGTATATTCCTGGTCACATCCTCCGTGCAGGCATTTTGTGCAGAAACTGCCTAGAGCACACAGGCCCAGAAGGCTGGGGACTCCTCACGAACCGTCTAGCCAGAGACACGTCCAAGACAGCAGGAAGCCTAAGCCTGCAACAGCCCTGCTGTAATTGTTGATCGTCTCCAACTTAGGGTGGCCCTGTGAATGAAAGCCCTGCAGAAGGTCCCGTCCGTGACCCCCCTGCCCAGCCGTTCTGAACCAGAGGCTGCCGCTTCCCTAAGGGAGTCCGTTCATTTCGGCATGCGTCACCTTTTTGTCTCTGCTTCCAGTAACGAAATACTCGCTGTCTGGAGCCCAGGAACAGGACCAAATGATGCGGCCGTGCATGGCGGTCATCTTGTCCGTGCAAGCGAAGAGGCTGAAAGCAGCTTCTGAAACGACAAACACACATGCAGTCATGTCCTCCCTGGGCGCAACAGATGGAAATTATCTCAGGAAACAGCACAACCGAGGGCTAGAAAGGGGAAGGGCACTGCACTCGTCTTCACCCCCCTCCTGTGCTTCCGTCTAAGAAGCACCCTTCTGCATCCCTGCAATTGTAGCCACCAATGCACTGTGCTGAGGATAAGGATGCCCCTGATTGAAAGCTCAGCCCAACGTGAGTTCAGGACCTAAGCCTAGGCTAGCCTCTATGTCTCTCCTTCACTGCAGCTCATTGGACTATTTTACAAGGTTATAAAAATTAAACATACTCTTTAACTGTGCACTGGTATTCAGGCCTAGTGAGAAGTAAGTCTCCTTTATTGGATTATTTATTGGGTTTTATATTGTGCTGAGATGTCTCCAAATTTTTAAGGTTAATTGTGTGTATTATGTCTGTTTTGTAAGCCGCCCCGAGGCTCTTTGTGAATGGGGCAGCATAGAAATGTTTCAAACAAACAAACTTCCTTCCTTCCTTCCTTCCTTCCTTCCTTCCTTCCTTCCTTCCTTCCTTTCTTTCTACTGTACTCCCGGGTAAGGGTGCACAAGGTTGCAGCTTAAGTGCTATATCAAAGCAGATGATTATGAGGTCTGCACTAGGCCCAAGAAAGTGACTATGGTTTCTTTTCCAGCTGTGTTCCCTTGTTGCAGTTTTTATAGGAGGACGGATGCTGCATTCGGATTGATAACCTGAGGGCCGCCAGCTCAACCGTAACTTGATTAAACTCAGCTCAGCGTCTTTTAGAATGCTGACCAGGAAACCAGGGTCATTCTGACGTGCACTTTGTCCATGCGCGCACTCAGCAGCATTTATGAAGCTCGCAAACCCACAGAAGCCTCCACCTGCCACGACAGCGGAGTCCCCCGCCGTCACTTTGCTACTGGCCATGCCGAGAGAAGCAGAAGAACGGCCTGCGAGGGATGCCTGGGCAGAGGCCTCAGGTCCCAGGCAACCCCGACACGGGCGAAAGAGCTCACCCACCGTGAACTTTTCGCCTGGTCACGTCATGGGCAGGTATTCCAGCCATTTGTCCCATGCCACACTGAACTAGGGCGAGTGTGCATGGCTCAGAAAGTGGCCGTTGTTCATTTATTCATTTCTATGCCGCCCAACAGCCGAACTCTCTGGGCTGCTCCTCCTCTGCCACGGATTCTCCCAGGACAACAGGACTACTCCACCCAAGCGGAAGACTTGGAATGCATGGTAACTCCATTTCTGGGACCAAGTGACTCAAGATCTGGGCAGCACTGGAGCCAATCTTCCCTCACTCCTGTTTAGCACTAAAAGGGAGTACTACATTAGCCATTCCCAATCACATCACCTTCTCCTGCATAAATAGCAACGATAATATTGAGGATAAAAGCTTGTTTCAGAGCTAGCTGAAATTACCACCAACCAAGACAAGAAGATTCTACTTAATTTTTCTTCCCCCCACCCTTTTTGGGGGCGGTGTTTAATCTGAAGTCTATTGGAAGATATCCAAAATATCTGAGCAGGTCATAATAGAAGGTGTGCACAATTTCCACAGGCGACCCCTGTGTCAGCAGTAAGAAGTCAGCGATGCTAAGAGTGGCCTCACAGTCATTCCATCGAGCCATGTGGCTAAGTGGGGAGGAAAGCCTCTGGAAGGCTTCCTGTTCATGCAACCGAACGGTTCTCATCTCAAATATACAAGCATTAAGAGTACTGTCTTCCTTAAGAATGGAATTCTTAAGGAAGATTAAATCTTAAGGAGAAACTAAAATGCCATCCCAAAATGGACACTTATGTATACGTTCTTAAGTCAAGAGTTTTCAATACCAACACCTGCATCTCACCTGATTCTGATGGGCTAGTATCTTCGCACTTCCAAAGGGTCCATTTCCTGTCTCTGGAAACTGCTAACAAGAATTTATCATTGGGTGAAAAAGACATTTGTGTCACTGTCAGATTGTGAAAAGATAAGCTCTGTAGCGGCTTCCAGGTTGTAGTACTCCACAAAATAATGGCTGCATGTTCTTTTTTAGAAGCCTGTAAAACAGGAAGCAAACATACTGAGAATGAGAACAAGGACACACCTGTAACAACACCACCAGCATGGTGTAGCAGCTAAAGAATTAGGGAGATAGTAGCAACCCGCCTGTTTCTGATAAAAAAGCATTGCCCTGGCTAGGAACTGGGCTTGAAGTTCCGTTCTTTCTCAATCCCGACATAGCAGCTCATGAAGAAGCATATAAATATTAGGAAGAAGAGAAATTCCAGGACAAGAACAGCTGTCCTACTCTTGAGTTCTCTTCTCCCGTTGGGACAGCTCAGAAATATCACACAGATATTTTCTGTTTTTCAAGAAAGGCATGCTCCTGAAACAATGCTTAGGAAGTTTCTCAACTATTCTTCTTCTCATGATGACACTGTTCCATTTTTGTGAATGTTCTATGCTCCCAAACCGTATCTTGCTGATCCATTCTTGCAGCATTCCAGTATTTTACAGGGCACACTTTGAAAAAGACCTAGTTACATTATTTTGGAAAAATAGGCTTTTTGTTCACACTAAGTGTTCTCATTAAAAACGTTTGTTTCGTTTTGTTTTTTCAATGGCTTGGGGCTTTAAGGGGTTCAAGCTCTGCATAACCCTGCACAGGATACCCTTTTCCAAACAATTATTTTCACTTTGTTCAAAGGCCAATGTGCCACAAATACAATTGATAATGTGCATGTAGAACCTTCTACACAATATGCACATGTGCAATGCAGCCTCATGACTTCAGCGTGTAAGATGCATGCCCTCGTCTCTTTTGGAATAAGCCATGCCTCAAGAGGAAGCCTCAGGGCAGGAAGGTGGGAAGCCGGATGCTGGCCTGGTGACTTCTGCTCTGAACCTACCAGATTCTTCTCATGTTCTTCAGGCCACGCAGCACAGCGAACATCCACAAGGTTGCCACCCTACCTGCAGAGGCTTTTTTAAATAACCTTAATCTTACCTTACATGCTGACGCAATCACCGTTTTTGCATTATTGCAGGCAACACAAAAAATCTCATAGCCGTGTCCGTATCTAAAATGACAACGACACGGAGGTAGTAAAAGGAGAGGTGATCTCTAATCCTAGCACATATTACACACATCAAAGCTTTTCACAGGTGTTTTTTTTTTACTATCAGAGAAGCTTTTCTAAATCTGTCAATCAAAGGACACTTGGGTTTTGTCACTGATGTCCTGACGTCCCGCAGAGGATTCTTAGATAGGTCTTTGGATGTGTGCCCATTTCTTTTTGTCTCTTTCATCCAGCAAGTTTGCCTGCTGTCACAGGTTTTCTAATAGAAACTGCTGCTAAAACCCGGCCAAATCACCATAGGGTTACTTGGAGCAGAGTTGGAAAACTACTGCGATATGGGCATGCACTACACCCAATGAATCAGTTCACAAAAGTGACATGGAAGACAACGTCAATACAACTTTCTCCAAACTGGTCCCATCCCACTGTAACCCCTAGAATTCCAAGCTATCCTGGACTGTTGGCTGTGCTGGCCGGGGTGAAGAGACACATTCCAACACATTCCTTTGACCCAGCCGGTTCAAAAAAGGCCGCAGGTTCAAGAAAAGTGGGCAAATACATCCCTGCTCCACCCACAGACCTGAGCTCAGAATTGCATTGCAATGGTCACGACACTGGGCCCATGTTTTTATGACTGTTAAGGTCTCACTTCACCTCACAGTGCAATTCATTCCTTTTGTGACTGCAGAAAGCAGTCTTCGTGATGCAGTTTTATTTCTTGGCTTTTTGGGCCATTTAAACGGTCCCAACTATCACCCTTAACTCTGCACTTGCCGTCTGCCATTGAACCTGCCTGTGTTTCTCAGAGTGTCACTTCAACACTCCAGTCCCAAGTGAGGCAGGCCTGAACTGTCAGTGGAATGTGCTCCCTAGAAAGGTCCGCCTGGCACCGTCATTATATGTTTTTCGGCACCAGGTCAAGACCTTTTTATTCAATCAATATTTTAATATATTTTAAAAATACTGTGTAAAGATGCATTTATATTTTATATGTTCAGCCAGCGTGGAATAGTTAACTTGTTTTATTTTGAAATAATAAGAGACGAAAGTAATGGACGGCATACAAATTTGATGGATGGATGAAAATAAACTGCTTGCACATATGGAGGCCTTCCCATTTGTCCAAAAGCTGCGATTTGACCACAACTGCTTTAGGTGAGGTACCCCAAAGTGCTGAGCTCATGGAAAGAGGTTCCACAGTCCTTAGCTGGGCAGGCAAGCCACTCACTGGCAGAACTGCCAGACTTCTTCGGAAGTGCTCCACCACCAGTGCATGCATGTAGCAGAAATCCCAGAACTGCTCACACAAAAGGGAAGAGCAAATGCCCGGAACGGCAATGCTCAAGCCTGGCTCATTAAGCCACGATTCCAAGCTCAGTGTGCCATGCAAACCCCATCAGTGAAGAGAACCAATATGAGTCGAGCCAAACTGTTCAAGTCACATGTAGCTGCATTTTGTTCAGGCAATGAAAAAGGGTTATATCAGGGATATATTGGAGCATGTGAAAACTACCATGTTAACACTGACAATTAAAATTACTTTAAAGGTAACCAGTAAGAGAAGAGCACACTATTTGTCATGTTCTTAAAATGTTTAATATTACCACAAAATAATTCCTACGTAAAGATTTGAATGCGATATTTAAGCTACATTAAGTACCATTTATTGACTTTGTTTTCCAGATCCATTATTTCAGTTCAACTACTTTTGGATACTGGAAAAACTGTTCACACACACAGCATGTAAAATTAAGATGCCCTACTTTTCAGTTTGTTTACTAAACATACTGTCAAATAAACACGCTAAGTCAGAAGTTAGTCAACTGAAGGCCTGGAAAATATTCCAGAATCCCCACAGTGTTTCCCGCCAGCAGCATCAAACCATGATTTCATGTGTAAGCCAGAAGAGATGGAGCTTTCCTACCAGCCAGTGACAACACAATATTTTTCGATGGTAACCGTTCCCATAGATGGCTAAGACCCACGATGTGTTGAGCAAATCAAGTCATACCACGTGATGGCCCTACAGGAGTTACCCAGTTGTTCTTTGCACCCGTTAACAAACCAGAATCTTAACGTCTGGTATTATCAGATATGCATGTTATACAGCTATAGCACATTCCAAACGTCACGCAGACGTCTGAATATAAGGCTTAGATACTACTGTACAGAGACTGGAACGTGTAAATAAAGCAAGTTATAAAATTACTTTTGGCTGTCTGAAGCTCTGTATTTCCTGAAATGGAATCTTCACATCCAAACACTTCAGTCGAACCCGTATGCACTGCTAGCTTCTTAAATATTTATCAAATTAAACATGTATTCTGAAATCTGATTTTAGAGCCGCAATATTCTGCACAATAATGCAACTGCCAAACGATTTCTTGTTCGGAAGCCACTTCCTAACTTTTTTCCCTCTGCTGCTATGGAAACATTATGCCTACATTTTACAAGATTTCATGCAGCTTCTTTGAAGATTAATGCTGCACAAATACAATTGGGAACCAACAATATTTTCCTACTGCCTGTCAAAATACATTGCTGCCTCCTTCTGAAAAAACACACTGTAAAGCGCTACATCTTAAGGAAAGCCAATTAAGCCAGTCAAGAGCTGCTACAAGCAGGAATGTGCCTCGCCTGTCACTAACCAAAAACCCGTTTAGAAGTGTCCTGCCTCTTCATGACAAAGGTGCAGCTGCCATCTCCGGACAGGAAAATAAACCCGCCTTGTGCTGCTTGAGGTGACATGAGGGAGGGACATGCTCAGAGGCCCAGTTCACGAGAACCGCTGCATGTGCACATCGCCAAGGGTTATTCTCATGCTCATTATCGTACCGGTGGGATGGGACCGTGTGGCGGGGAAACAAGTGATCGGTTGATCCCCCCCGTCCTGACCATGCAAGCTCAGTAACGCCTACTAAAGTTACTCCCCAGCATTTCCCTTCACCAGTTTTATAAACACGGATGACCCACTGGGGACACGAACACGAATAATAATGCAGCAAACATTTCCATCAGGTTCCAATTCATGTATGATGAGTAAAGGGTAAGGACAGAAGAGCTGCTTTGTAAAGAAAACAAGGAATATAATCTAGTGTTTACTGTGCAGTTATTGCAAATTATTTCCATCAATTAGCACGGCAGAGGGACTTTGCAAGGCTGTGCTAGCGGAAGGGAGGAGACAGAATTCCCTGGGCCACTGCAGGAGGGAAGGCGAGCTGAGCGTGTGCGAAACAAGGGGACACTCCAGCAGGGCTTTCACTGGACCAGGTTCCTCACAAGCGCTGAGCACCTCGCTGGCCTTATGAAAATGACTGTGATGGAAACTGGGTGGTGGGGATATCGTCCTTCTCAGTTCAGAACAATGAAGAAACACTCTTTTCAGTTTTCCATTACAAGAGCACATCACATGTTGTTATTTACCTACAGGCAGGAAGTGTTTCCCACACAGAAAAGCACACTGAGCTGTCAAACAATTGCTCTTCTCCGAGTAATGCTCTTCTTCTAATAAAGCGCATAGATTTTGCCTGGGAGGAACTGCAGTGTCTGTTATCCAAAATAGCAAAGGCAGGCTGGAAGGACCTCACTGAGGTCAGAAAGGGGGCATTCCAGTGGGCAGGTAGGGAAGAAGATGGGGAGGGACCAGGATACAAATCCCCGATAACTCTCTAGTCCAAACCATGAGTCGCAGGTCTCACCTAGAAGGGCTCAGAGGCACACCCACAGGTAAGAGCAAGGGCAAATTCCAAATGGTGAAGAGGCCAAGATGGTCTCCATCGCTCCTACTGACAAAAGCTTAGCATGTAAAGATCCTCAGCGTTCTGAGTGCAGAGGCATCCTTATAACTTGTGTTTTATGGGGCTGTAATTACATCCTAGCAAAGAGGACCCCCAATGGTACCACACACCCAAAAGGGCTAACACACCTAAACAGGCATTCGGCATGGCTAACTAGAGATCTTCGGCTGTTGGGCAGTATAGCAGATAAATAGGTAAACAGCTACGACATCATTCATGGGCTTTAAAAAATGGAACGCTGGAGTGGGCTAGTTTCTCCCAAAGCTAAAGGGCAGAATAGCAGCTGCACATTTTGGTTCATGTCTCAGACTCTAAGAAGTCTAGAGAGTTGCTTCTAAAAAAAAGAAAATGGAAGCTAAGAATCTGGAGGCATGGTGCATCTGGGAGATGAAAGAGGGCTGCCCCCTCTTGGTCCATCCTACAGATGCTCATGAATACAAGGACCATGAACTATGCTCCACCTGATGGGTTACAAGTTGGGCAGGTCTCTTGGACTGAAACAAAAAAAAACACTTAATAGTTTTGCTTTCCTGTGGATATTTCCAGGCTCCTGTGCATCGTTTCAGGACATCGCAAAATTCCCTGAAAATATGACTTGGGTGCTATTTGCCAAGAATGAGAGACAGTGTAAAACCGGTGTGCTCTGCAAAGCTTCCATTGGATGGCCCTTGTGAACATTGTTGTTGCCAGCCAACGGGTCAAAATCATCACCGCTTGCTCCTACTTGTGGGAAATGGTGGGGTTTCAAGAGTTACGAACAGTTGCCCAGAGACTTGTCAAACTCTGTGCCTACGCGTCTTCCGGAAGCGATACAAGACCTTTTTATTTAAACTGAGTGTTAGCGGCCAATTCATAAGGCTGCTACTTCTCCCATACGTCTCCCTCACTCTTGGGATCAGACAGGCCCTAAGACAAATGAATACATCACACAGATACATAATATATTAATTAAATGCTAAACACTGTAACTGAATAGGGCCAGAGAGCCAAGTTGCGTCTTTACTCAGCCATAAAACTTACTAGATGAATCCTGCGAGCTGTGGCGAAGATAACATGGAAGAAACTCATCTGCACTATCCTAAGTTCTTTTTAAAATAAGCGTGGAATACAAATGTCGTTTTCAAGAAGTACATGCATCCATCTAGCCCCAACATAGACCAGGTTAATTACATATTTAAGGAGGGAATGGACAACTTGTGGAAAGATGATTAAAAAATCAAAGTGCTGAATAACAGCTTCCATCTCTTCTCATTTGTCTCTAAATCAATAAGCAAAAATTACTTACAATTTTTGAGTTTCAGGCCACAGCGTTCTCTGCAAGAGATTATCTTCTGTAGGAGGCTCTGGAATAAATCATTTCATTTAGAACTGTGTTGGGGTTTTATTCCCATCACAGCATGTTTCTCCATTTCCCTGTTTTCCCAAAGGTCAGTGCCATAAACCTCACTACAGAACCATGCACGGTATTTTTTTGCAGGTTGCCTACCTGTAAGACTACACGGCTGAAAGTAGCTGTCATGATACTGGCTGGAAGCATCGCTAAGTGTTTCCTCCTGTTGACTTACCTGAACGGTCGTCTCTCCCGCTGTAAAAAGATGTGAGTTTTAATGTCAGCAAATACAGTGATGTAGCAAAATGAAATGTTTAACCAAGAAACAACTACAGGGAGCTTCAGCTCCTAAACAGCATCTGAAGATGGTCCAGACTTTTCATCCTGAATTGGAGCCCGTTTTCCAGCCTCTTGGCAAGGGAGAACCAAACTCTTCAAAACCTGGAGCTCTGGCAACTAGCATGCCTCCAAGATCAGGAAAGGGATCTCTTAGGGGTGGTGAAGGAGCATTTCAGTGGGCAGAGAGAGGCGGAAACAGGTGAGACCGAGATGCTGGCCTTCAGCTCCTTCCAGCCTCCTCCCCCCCTTCCCCAAACCAACCCAGTCAGACAGGTAAAAAGCCCTGTTTCATGGTGGATGCAGGGAAGTGGCGTGTAGAGCTGAAAGTCACCTCCATCACTCTTCTATTCGAAGACTCCAAGTCTGGGGGCTTAGAGTCGCTGAGGGCACAACTAACACAATTGCATTCTAAGTGACAATTGGCCCATAATCCATTTTGCTTTGGACAGGAAGGTTAGAAAACGTTAGGTGCCCTCTTCAGTCCCAATGAATTTAATAGTAGGAATTAAGCTCAAAGTCTTGCACAAACTGCTCTGGCTTTCATGCTCTTATCATATTTAGAAATTAGTTCTGTTCATACTCCGGACTAAAACAGCTCCCGAACATTCTAATTTTTGCCTGCAGAGAATGCAGAATTGACTCAACTAGCTTTCATTTTTATTGCCCGATCGAAAACAAAGTGGGAGATCAAAGCAAACCTTGAATATCATTGTTTCATCTCTGTCACTCTGGCATTTCTTAGCCCACCACCCCCATCTCTAGGCCTATTTCTGAAGCAAAGGCATCCTGTAATTTCGTAACAGCCCCAAAATGTATTAATAAAGGGAAGAAGATTCATTCAAAAAAGGAAAAGCTTAAAATATACACAACAGAATAATTTTACCCAGCCATTATCTATGGGTATGAGTCATGAAGTGTGGCACTCAAAAGGCTTCAACTGGCTGTGCTCAAGAAGGAATTTTTCGGAAAAATGTGTGGGCTGCGAGAGCAGATCAACATGGGAAGGGGCAGGCCACAAGGCGTTGGGCACATCTGCTTCTTAAGACCCAAGTCGGAGTAGCAGGGCAGATTATGCTGAAAAAATAAAATGCCCTGCAAATTTTGCACTGGAGAGCAGTATAGGATTTTTTAGGATAAAGAATCCGAGCAGCATGTACAGGGCTTCCACTAATGCGCTCTCCAGTGACTGTGGAGGGGTGTTTAATATTGGACCATCCTGATCGTGACTAGCAAACCAAGAGGGTGATTTCTTAGATTTTTAAGAAGCGATCCTATGGCTCTTGGGCTGCCCTTGACCCTGCAAAGGAGAATTCAAATTCCCTGATTCAAGGTGGGGGATTTGAAACTCTGCCCCCACGCCAGCTCTCCATCTGAGTGAAAAGAGCAGCATCAGATGCTTTCTGGAGTCAACCTCAGGGGAGGAGGAGGGAAACGTTTCAGTGTGCAAGAAGCGGAGGAAGCTGGACAAGCCAAGGTATAAGCCATCCGGAATACTGTAGTCCTTCCGATGTGACAGGAAAAAAGCACTCCTAGTTAAAAAAAACCTGCCCTCCACGCAATGCATGCCAGCTTCCACATCTGGGAGCTTTGGATTAGTGAGGGACCAGCCAACAGGATTGTCCCCTAAATGTATTTTCATCCTCCCCCCGCCCAAAAAAAAAAAAAAACCACTTGCACCATTATCACATCATTACAACGGCTAAAAGAGATGAACAATGCTCAAAATCGTAACTAAATGGTCAGTGGACAAACTAGATAGATAGAACAAAAGGGAAAAGTAGGAAGAGACAGCTGCCTTTCGTTGTGACAACAAACCAGGGTTCATCACAGCCTTCCCAACCTGCTGCCTTTCAGATGTGCTAGGCTATAATCTCCATCATCCCTGAACCAATGAGCAAAGGGGAGCTTTATGTGCACTCCCATCACCAAGCACAGCCCGAAGAATGAGACTGAAAACCTCCACTTTGGGGATTTTTTACTCTAGTTTCGCATGACACATGAATGAACCCTAAACACAAATCCTGTCGAATGAACAAAACATGCATACACGCAGCTTACCTTGAAAGACGGCCTTATTGGACAAGCCTAATGCTGGTACAGTAGCGCCTTCTGGAAGATCAAGCATTTGCTTAAAAAAAAGAAAAAAGGCATGCCATTTGGTCTTTATTTCTAAAATCCATCAGGTCAATCAAAAGATCACTAAAAATTCTGCAAGCTTTCAGGATTCTGAGATCTCTTTTTCAGGAAAATTGGTACAAGATGAAGTTGTAGGAGAACAGGAAGAGGAAGTGACCAGACAGGGGAGCCATGTTGTCTGTATGCCCTAACCTGGTCACTTTTGGGAGGACATTCACGCACCAAACATGATTCATCAACCCTTCCCAAACTGACTCCCTTGTGATAGATATATGGATCTTTGTGTACAAACTGCCCATCAAAAAGGCTTTTTAAAAATTCTTGACAATCATCATTCAGCCTCCCATGAGCTAGAAAGCTGATGTACAGGAGTATCTGGTATCCAAGACACCATGCCCAGCAGAAGAAACATTCAAAATTCCATCTCAAAACAACATGCTCCAATTTTCTCGGTCATGTGAAAGTATCCCAATAAGCTGCAACTCCCCTGGGATTAGGAAAGTGCCAACTTGTTTAACTAACTCCAAGGCTAAGAGACAGAACTATTGGCCCAGGGGTGCAAACTCTGCCTGCTGAAGACCCTGGGTTCAATCCACAGCACCTCCATCTAAATGATGGAGAGAGGGCCAATATTCCCCCACTTTGGAGAGCGCCTGTGCCTCCCATGAGGTCATACAAAACCAAGGCCTGGCACAGCTCAGAGGCTTCATACATTCACGAAACTAGCAGTATTCAGACCAGGACTCTGCTCTTACGATGTACAAGTTGGTAGTTGATTTTCCTCTGTTCAAAAGCAGTAAAAGCACACTTACTCCAGAAAGCAGTTTCTCCAGAGATATTCCAGAAATGGTGCTGAAGTTCTCTATGAAATTCCTAGGTGCGGTAAATACCCGAAGCACTTTCTCATCCGCTCCAGACACAAACTGGAACCGCCCGATCATCGCTAAGCACTGCATGTCATATCCATGCACCTGGGGTCTTGCCACCTCGTGCCACGACACCTGGGGAAGGCATTGATGGTGTTGATGCATGGACCCCTCTCAGTCTACAGGAAAGCACCGTCTTGCAGAACGGCATTTTCATGAAAATGAGCGTGCGCGCTATTCCCCATAAACAGCCCTGCTTTCCTCTGCCAGAAGCAGACTTAGTGGTGGTTTGCTGCTCTCCTCGAGTGAAGGAGGCTAGCTACCTCGGGGAAGGCCCCATTTCTGGAACCAGGAAAGCCACCTCCGTGTCGGCCTTCCCTCCCCCAAGATCCCCAGAGGAGCCTTCCAACAAATCCGCATCCTGTCAGAAGTAACCAGTCCTTGTCCATTCCCCCTCAACTTCTTCGAATGGGGAAGCGAGGCCAGTCTGGCGTCATCTAGAAGGTGGCTGGGCCTAGCCGGTTTCCTTGACTCAAAGAGAGCACTGGGGAGAGAAGACTCTGCATTTCTTCTCTAGAGTGATGGAACCTAGCCAGCTCGGGGATACAAAAAAGCAGAACATCCCCGGATGGGCCCACGGACCCCTCAAACCAGCCTCCTGCCGGGATGCGTGTGCCCCCGTGATGATGCCCCTGCCAAAGAGGTCCTCCAAGGAGGGAAATGGCTGACTCAGGAGGGCCTGGCGACTGTCTGCGGCCGCCCCATGGAGTGGGGCCCTCCCCCAGAAGGCCACGCAAGGGGGCATCCCCCTTACTGAGGACACCTCCTGGTAGCACCAAATTGGCAATGGTGGAGGTGGACAGAGCCAGTGGGCAAGGCAGGCTCCAGGACCTCCAGCCACAGAGGGCACCCCAGAGGAGGCTAGCAGTGCCTGGGGGTTTCTGTGGGGCTCGGATCTGCCCAGGCAGAATGCGACTGCCTGCCTAGCATCCAGGGGGGCCCATTCCCTCTCCTGCAACATATATGGACAGTGCGATTGCTAGCTCCCCTGCTTTATGGCAGATGGAGCTAGCCCCTTCCATCCTGGGGCTGGGAGGGGCAGGTCCGGGGGTGGGGGGGGAGACTGCTTTGTCCTTGGGGAAGATGCAAAGGTCCCTTCCAGGGCGCAGCACCTCTGGCTCAGAGGCCCGTGTCCCTTCGGCCTCCAGGCGTGGCCCTTAGTCCAGAACGGGCCCAGCAAGCCTCTCTCTCCTCTCTTGCAGGGATGAGGGCTGGGTGTGCAGCTGTGCCTGTGGCGCCGCTCTCCCTGGCGCCGGTCTGGGGGCACCACCGGCTGTGAGCTCGCTCTCTCTGGACCACTTCTGAGGGAGCGCTCTCTGCAGATGCGGCTGCGGCTGTGGGCCCCTTCGGGTCCCTAGGTCTCCGTGCTGGTGGAGGGTCATCTGCAGGACCCTCTGCGCCACCTCTTCTTGTGCCCTCCTCGAGGACTCCAGGGAGGCGCAAGGGGGCGCGGGAAGCCATCTCCTCTCCCCTGCCCTCCTGGCCTCCCTCTAAAGCGCTCCGCTGGGCGAGTCCGCCGGCCCTGGAACGGCCGACTGGCGAGGCTGCGTGTGCTGCCGCGACCGAGCCTGAAGGCCCGCACGGCTGCTGCGTCTCCCCCTTGGAGGGCGTGCCCCTGCTCGCTCTGCTGTGGAAGGGGCCTCGCTCTGACGGGGACTGGATGCCTCGGAGCCTGGCCATCCAGCGCGAGGGAGAGGGAGAAGGGCTGCTGCCTCCGCGGCTTGCGTTCTGCCGCTGAGGCCTCCCCGCTGCTTGCCGCCCTGACGCCTGCAGCAGGCCTGTGTGGAGGCGGGCAGGGGACCCGGTCCGAGGCCTCCCCGGCACCCCAGGTGGGCCCAGCACAGATTCACGGCCATCCTGCCAGTGGTCCACCCACGCCCAGGCAGAGCACGCAGCCTCCTCTCCTCATCCTCCCTGCTTTCCCTGTGAAGGAGCCTGGAAAAATCTGCGTCTCACCTTGAGGCCAGCCTGGGAGAGGCCCTGCCTCCTCCAGGAGTGCCAGCCTGGACAGTGCCTTCCCAGCACGAGAGGGGGGGCGTTTCCTCGGCGACCTGGTCTACTAGACTCATGGAGAAATGCCGAGAGAACACCTCTCACGTACGATTCGCCGGGACATATTGCTGGAATTTCCAGCAGGTATGAGAAAAATACTCTGAATGCAAAATGAGCGGGGAGTTCAGCTTAACCTGCAACTTCTCATGCCAGTGTGAATCGAACACCTTTCTAACCCTAAATTTCTTTTGCATTCCCTATTCCTCACAGAAAGCAGAATGCTTCATGGACAGTGACTTAATTAAATCTAAAAGGAAGCCTGAAGCCAACAAGAGTTTATTTTTAAATGACTCCCTTCAATCCAAGAACTGGAGATTTTCACACATCAGCAGTACTGTGGTAATATCATAGCAGCAATCTTCGGATCAGGGCACAACACAAACAGATGGATGGAAATCTGAGAGAAGCCACTGTGCAAGTCTCACATTCTGCCTTATACATAATTTAAGATTCTTGCCAAAAGAGGGGGGAAAAACCCACCTACCTCTTCTCCGTTCGCTCTTTTCCATGGGGCAAAAATTCTAGTAGTTTGGTCAGAACCAACAGAGATGATAAATTCTCCCTCTGGATCCCACGTCACATCCTGAACAGCATTGAAATGCCCGGAAATCACCACCTCCGGAGCCCATTCTCGCTGTTAAATCAAGAGCAGCAGTGTTACAATTTCCGGGGACTGAGATTAAAGCTATCTGCTGGACAAGGGTCTTGTTGTCGGAAAACTACGGCTGGCTTCCCATGTCGCAAGTAGCCCCATGTGGATTCCATGGCGCACGTTTTATGCCTGGACGTGCCTGACAGAGGATGAAGTGGTTTTGGTTCCAGCATGGTCTGGCCACGCCTCGCTCACTTCCCCCACTGCAGAACCCACCAGTGCCATGCCTGAAATCCAGTCCCATGCCGGATGGCTGCAGCAGCTCCTACAGCCCCTTCCAGGGGAATCGGTGGCAGCTGCAGCTCAGGACCATGGAAACCACAAAGCCAGGTTCGTAAGAGCAGAGAGACCATGGTGAAGCAGGGAAAGCATGCTGCTCTTTCTTATCGTAGGTTCTAAAAACTATCATGTGAACCTGCCCTGTGTGAACAGCTGGAAAGGGAAATATTTGAATTAAAGCGGTCCAGATGGGAGAAGACCAGCGACCAGATAATGAAGGATGGGAGTAGAAAGATCATATGTGAGAAACCCTTTGCTTGCATGACTACAGAGTGACATCTTTAGAATAACACGCATTTTAAAATGTTTATTAGGAAGGCTTACACAGCTTTTCACTCCTACCTTTCAAGCACACCAGTTGGCCTAGAACACCCATCAGCCCCCACAATGGGCTGTGCCATTCCCATCAGCCGCTGATGGACAAGAGGGAAGGCCCCCCAGAGGCGAAGCCTGGCAGCACATCTAGCCCAGGCGCTTGGCAAGCAAGGAATCCTGGATTCAGTCCCGGCCTATACAATTAAAAGGTTCTTGGGCCAGAGGGCTGGGAAGTACCTCCCCGAGACCTTGGAAAGCGACTGCTGTAGAAGTCGGCACTAGCAGGCCAGATGGAGTAAGAAACTGACTCAGCGTAAGACTACTTCTTGTATTCACTGCCCACACAGCTCAAGAGACATATCCCTGCTAATCGAGGCTTATTTAATCTCGTTTGCTGCTAATTATGGTATGAAAAGAAAAGTAACAGTCAGTGCTCCAGTGGAAAGGTATTCAGAATGGATTTACAATTTGCCATGTCTAATGAGCAAAAGGCCACCTCCTTCTATAGAAGGACATTTATCACACTTTGCCCTGTCCAATAGTAGAAATGATCTCTTTTACCTGGCTTACTGAAGTCTGTTTCCAAAGATGCAGGGCTCCGTGGAAAGCATGCGCCAGAATCATTGAACCATCCGGGCTGAAGTGACAGTCAAAAAACCCAAGTGTGTTTCCACCTACTTCTCCTATTCGAACCTTTTGGAAAAAATGCATACAAAACCCATGAGCCAGTCACCCACTTGTTTCTTAGTAAGCAGCGGTTGAAAGCTGAACAGTAAGCAAAACAGCAAGGCCTCATCTGTTGTTTAAACTGCATCCAAAGTGGATTTAGGAGAACTTGTTTCTAGAGGCGCACAGAAATCATAATCTTGCAGAATTAAGAAATCAATAATTCTGGCTCTTTCTAAGACACAGGTTTGACACAACTTACAAATCTCACATCGAGTTATTATTTACGTGCCTTCTGGGGCTTGGGTGGGAGTAGATCAAATGCCTGCATGCTTACCAGGAACATAGTGAATTATTTAAATTCTTTTTGTGGGCTTTGCTGCCAAGTCCTTAGGCAGCCGGCAACAGTGACGCAATAATCAGAAGTACTTTTCCCGCACAATAGCTAACTAGTGTCCTACAAGGATTCACTGCAGATGGAACCATGGCCCCCTATAAAACCTGATCTGCTAATCAGGACACTGCCGCAGAAGCCACCCCCACTACCCACCCCAGGACAGACACTGCCTGGCATGAGCCAAGTATTTGCAGTACATGTAAAACAGATAATAGCTAAGCCAAACCAGGCTCCCCGGTATGGCTGACAAAACTACTTTGCACCACAGTTCGAATGTCTGGCTTAGAGAGAAACCATGGTTTGTGTTGGCGCACATATAACTCGAAACCACAGTTAAAACCTGGAAAGGAAAGGAGGCGGCTGATTTCTCTAGAGAGGACAGCAGTACATGTATGCGAGACTGGCTCCCAATTTGCAGGTGACACTCTTCAGAAAGCCAGTTTTACTTCTTTTCTGACTAAGCTGCAGTAATGATCCCTAGTTTTGCAGCTTAAAAAAAAAGATTAGACACATTTGTGGAGGACCGTCTATAAATGTCCACAAGCCATAAAAGTGAAATAGGATCGGCTTCTACAGAGCCTGTGTCCCTCTGGGTATCCAATCTTGGGGACATCTGGTAGTGCCATTAGAAATATCACATATTTATTTTAAAATAAAACATCAAGACTCCAACGTGCACAGTTCCAAGCACAGAATAAATAGCAAGGTTCAGTTCAGCTGATAGATAGTAAATATAAAAGGTTCAGGGACAGGCAGGATGGATTTGGGGAAGTGCAGCTTCTTTACTGCACAGACTCCTTGAATGTCTCTCCCTCCCTCCCTCCCTCTCTCTCTCTCACACCCACACACACGAGCGCACACACGCAGTCTTCCGCAACTGCTTTTAAGGCCCACCTTTAGGCGTTCTAAATAACAATGCTCTTTTCTGTTCTTCCACTGAGGAAAACAGACTTTGCAGATTAAAATGTTTTTTCTGTTTTATTTGTTTAGGATTTGAAATATATTCCTTTTATCTAATTTCTCAAGTTCAATGATGTGCAGGATTCACAGGAACACAGGACTTAAGAAACTTAAGGATTAGGAACACAGGAAACTTAAGGAACCTTAGAAACACAGGAAATTTTTTTTAAAAGGTCTACCTGCTCCAGCCACATCCCAGACTCCTCCTCTGGAGCCCACAAAATTACAGTTTTGTCCATTGAAGCAGACAGCAACTTCATTGGATGTTCCATCCTGCCATCTACAGTGAAAAAGACATAATTACTCTTGCACGCATTGCATTTTCATCAAACAGAAAAGCAAATTGGGCTTATAAGGGAGATGTACCACCACGGTCTGGACTGGACTGGACTGGACAGCAGGGAAATGTCTAGTTGCAATTTACAGTGATCCAAAATTGTGTGTGGTGAAAAAATTGCAAATTGGATACGGGCACTGTAGTTTTATGCCTGTCTTTTAAGGTTATGTTTGCAGATGAGCGCTCTCCAAACTGCACACATCCAGTCCCAGGCATGAGGGAGGAAAAGAAAATACCCCAAGTGCCAAGGATAATCGTGATTCGCAATGGACCACTGTGTGATTCATGGGCTCTAACTAGTGAATCATGACCCATTAACTGGGGAACTGTAGGATGAGATCCATCTGAAGGTGGGTTGCACTGACAGTCTTGGCAATATTTTGGAAAGAACAGAGGTGAAAGAAAAAGCTAGACTCAAACCCAGTAACCAAAAGTGGGCCCAACTCTAAGTTGGTGATAAAAGTAGATTCTGTGTGGATTCAGCAGCAAACCACTGCAGAGCCTTAGACATTTCTAATTAAGTGTGTCTTCAATATTTGTTTGTTTTGCTGCTGCAGCAGAAATGAGGCCTGCAGAGCAGTCCAGGACTGAAAACTGAACCCCCAGACTGCCCAGAATTGGGCAGTATAAAAATGAAATAATTACATGAATGAATGTAGAACACCCTGAGAAAAAGCATCGAAGGACTGCTGCAGATGTCTCACTGCCCACTTGGTTAAGGAAACAGCATGAAGCGGGACTGCGTGTTGTTTCCCCTTCCTGAAGTTCAAATTCCCACTCCTGGGCCAAACTGCTGTTGATCAGCATTGCTGTTAACAATGGTAAGCCCTGACCAGTGTATTTGTGTGAGGCCACAGTCTGATGGCATTATTATTATTATTTTTTGTTTGCATCCCTATTGCAACTGCTTGCCTATGCATTTATCTAGCCAATTATATTTCTCTAATATAAAAGACAGGCTCACAGGAGAGCTGGAAAAGGCCAGAGGGTCATGGGGTCCAACCCCCCGCTCAGGGCAGGGCTCCAAGATAAACCACCCCCCTCTGGCTGTCCAGCTGCATCCTGAACGCCACTACTCTGGGAGAGCCCATGACCTCCATGGGTCATTCGTTCCATTGCTGCACTGCTCCAACAATCAGGTTGGAGCAGTGCGACTCTTCCTGATGTTCAGCCGGAACCCGGCTTCCATATGATGGAAAATACCAAGATGGAAAGCCACTCTTAATTACCAAACCCTAGCTCAGCAACCAACGCTGGTATCAGCCTTAAGAAGAGTGGAGAGCTTCTTCAGAATAAACCAACCGCTGACCCACACGGAAAGGTGCAACCATTAAACAGAGGAAGGTGCGAAGAAGATCCAGCTCAGCCACGGCATCATGTAACGGGGACCTTAAAGGCCGCCCACAGGGCTGCTGCACCACAATGATTACATTATAATGGAGAATATCGTAAGAGGAGGATGCTGAGCCTGCAGCCCACGATCCCCACTGGTGGAAGTGTGGGAAATGACGTCACTTCCTGCATCTCGCAGCCTTTGCTGGCTGCCCCAAGACATGGGGAAAACCACAATGTGATAATGTCACATCACACTTACACATGACTACAACTATGGGGTTGGGGAGACATGGAAGAGCTCGGCATGGGGCTGCCAGTCTTGCCACGTTCTCCGCCATGTTTAGCCCCACCATAACTTGTGTCTTGCATCTTTCCTACCTTTGAGAAACGAAGGCTGCCAGTGAATGGCATATACCCAGTTTTCATGTCCAGCTAATACAGAGTCTAATGTAACAGCAAAAGATGTATCTGAACCTATGACAAAACAAAGCAGAAAGAATAAAAGCAGAAATAAAAAATCTCAAGGATGTTTTGAGAACGAGCCAAGAGGAGGATCACGATTCCCTGCATACGGAAACTGGCTATATCAGTGAGAATATCATCATGTTAGACAGACCCTCGTGGCAAGGGCACAAGATAAACCTGCTAGCATTTGTTGGACTCAGTAAGAGGCAAGTAAAAATGCAACTTGACTTTCCTCCCCTCCTGGCATCAGCCGGTGCTTTGAGCAGAAAGCAGAGGGTGATAGAAACGCATGCGATACAGAGTCAGGAAGTGCCCCCTTCACTGTGTAAACAACTCAGCCTTGCAGAAAACTCTACAGGCAAATGGATGCACCTATACATTCCCCCTCGCATCACTGAACGCCTTCTGCAGTTTGCCTGGAAAATACCGTAGTGCAGGATCACTCCTGCAAAGCCTGGATATTTGATGCTGCTACAAACTCCACGTATAGACAAAACATGGAATCCTATTGCTAAGGCAAATCTACAGAAAGAAACTAGTTTCCAGTTGCAAATATTTTTCTCTGGATTGGGAAGCGCCTGATATTTTCTCTGCTCTACAGCTTTAGAGTTGTAAAACAGAAAAGGTTGATCTCTTGTCCTACAGCAGATACATATATAGGATCACAGGGTGGGGGAGAGAAACTTGGGATGTTCTCTGAAATAAGACATTTAGAAATACCCAGTCCATCTTAGCTTATTTACTACTGGTGTTGGAGAACAATAAATTATTTTATTTTTTCCCAGGAAAGGAAAAACTTGACCACAAAAATAGGAATCCTTAAGATTCTAACTTGATTCTAACCCTGCGGAACACACTTGTATATGGTCTCTGAAAGCTCAACTATTCACAAAGTACCGACTTACCATTGCTATTTTTCACACTGAACACATTGTCTTTCAACCTAACAGTGTCTTCATCTTGGATTTCCACAAGTGATGAAGTCATGTGCATCTTCCAGATTCTTATCAGACAATCTTGAGCACAACTAGCCAAGAAGAGCTCTCCATCTGAAAAAAGAAAATTAAATCTGTGACTGGAAATAGGAAGCTATTTCAGAAATATCAGCTGTTTGCAGAAAGATAGCTCCAAGCTGTTTTTCAGGAATAAAAAATTTTCAGAATCTGTTATGACCAAGACAGAAGCCTTTAGCTCGAACACATGGATCTTTGCTGCAACATTCCTCTTGCAGAAAAGAAGTCGCCCAGCCCACAAATTTACTAGGTAAAGACATTTCTGACCTATGCAGAACAGAACTAAGTTGCCTGCTATGTCAAGGATTGTGTGCACACTTAAACTGCAGTGGGCATAGAATTCAATTTCCCAAGAATCTCAGCTACCATTTAAAAAATAGCAAGTGTCTAGCCCTCATGGTTGCAAAGATGATACATCTGAAAGTATATGACCAATGGCTACTGAGATCTCAGAAGCCAGGTAGGTCATGGAATGAGATTTCCAACAGTTAGATGGCAGAGCTTCAAAGGTCTTCCTCCTCCCAAAGCCATAGTTATACAAAATAAGAAAAAAATATGTAGTAACTGCAAATCTGAATTTTTTTTTTCGGAGCATAATTGTTGGATTTCCTAAACTAAGAATTTAAATTGCTTAGCACAACGTATAGGTTGTCATAGTACTGGTGCACAGAAAATGTTCAGTTGGAAAATATGTTTCATGTTCATTCATTTCTCCACTCAACATATCATGCTTTCCGTAAAATCTAGTCCTCCTGGACAAAGCTGCTCATCGCAAAGCCACCTTGTCCCTGCATCTGTTACCTTGAAAAGCCAGAGACTTGGATCAGGACTCTCCTTCCTGGAAAAAAACACTCATAAAGTTCTCCTACACCCTAAACTGAAGGAATATTTCTGCATCAACATACTCGCCCATTACATCCTGACTTGAATCCTCTAAAATTATCTTTACCTATTTAGCAATGGCATCTTCAAGCCACAGAGCTGGACACTGACATGGGCAGAAAGAAAACAAGAAATAAAAAGCACAGAACTTGCCTCATTCAGCTCCCCCACCCCAATGTTTTGTGCACAACATCCAGGGGGCCTACAATCCTCTGCAAAGAGGATTAAAAGGCTCCCAGGAGCTCTGCTCTCGCTATGTGTGGGGCATCTGGTTATAAAAGACGCCTTCCCTGTTGTTCATACTTACCACAAAGCGCCCATTCAACCCCTCTTATCCAGTCTTCGTGGCCATGAAGCAGCAAGGTTTTCTGAAACTGAAGGAGATCAACGCGCTCAGTTTTTCGGCCTGGGGGACTGATTCCCTTGGGTGCAGCTTTGTAGCGAGAGGCTTTGGCTGGTTTGCGAAGCTGGCCGTAGACACCTCTATGACTGGATTCCCATGATGGTTTGGAATCCTTTGATTTGGAAGCTTTGGCTGCTACAGATCACAGCTGCTCCCCTTCCAACTTGTGCAGCTTATTTGGGCTGGATCCCAGTAATGTTAATTGGACTCCTCTGGCCACCTGTCCTTCTCCAAACCCAAGTCACACCAGTAGCACTGATTTTTTAAAAACTAAATAGCTTGGGCCATGGTACCTAAAGGAGTACCGTCTCTTACAGGATGCTGCCCACCTTTGCAAGTCCCCCATTAATCAGCCTATGGGTCACAGAAGATATTCCCCATCGCTGAATAAAGTTTAAACAAGGCTAGCAGCCCCCAGATGGCACACAATCTGTACGGTAAGACACAGAAACAGCTTACCTCTCCAGCCTGTTGCACAAATAAATGAATTTTGCAGTCATCACCACCACAAGCCAGCACTGGCACTGAAATAACAAAGCAATCTTTGGTAATTCGCAGGTTCAATGACATTATTTGAAAGAGGAATTTAAAAAAAAAAAACACTTGCAAGAAAAAGGACCACTTATACTGAGAGGCAGGGGAGAAATGCAGAGCCAAAATCCTATACACAAGAAAAAGTCACATTAAACTGAACAGGGTTTCCTTCTCAGTAGATATGCACAGGACTGCACCAAAAGGCGCTGTTAAACAGATCTGGAGCATCCCTGGATGTGCTTAACAAATTTGTGAAGTTTTAAATACTGTCAGATTAGATACCCAAGTCGAGAATATCTAGTCTGGCAGTGCTTGAAATTTCACAAACATGGGAGAAAAAGTTGCCAGTCACGGAGGGCCCAATCTAATAGGGATGCCTGCAGCCCCCAATCTCAAAAGGTTATGGGCATCCCAAGCAAAGCAAGAAGGCACAGGTCACCTCCCTGCCCCTCCCACTTTGCAAAGCAACTAGCAGCCCATTTCCCATACATAACTGGGGCAACTGGTGCGAGAAGGAAAGGAGGCTGAGGTGCCAGCAAGACACACTGCACCTTGGCAGCACTGGTCTGCTCCCCGCCCCCCACTCCGAATTCCCCCTCAGCTCCTCCTCCAAAGTTACTGTTCTGACCATGGAGACGCAGCCAGAAAGGTCTGCGGTGCCAGGCACAAGTGGGGCAGGGCGAGGGCGCTCCAAGGGTGCAGCCTCACCTCCAAGGTCGGAACTGCTTCCGGACCTCAGGTCGAAGCAACCTTCCAGACACAGGCCTGCCCTGTTCGTTGCTGCGTGCAAACGGAAGCCGTCTGCAGGACTGCCCGTCTGACTGGGTATCAGGGTCCCAGAACTCCAGTGTAGAACAGAACGCCTGGAAACTGCCATCAAACATGTCCTGCAACGAGTGGAACCCTCAGGCCCCCTGTGCAGTGATGTGTCGCGAGATCAAGAAAACAACACAGATGCACTTACTGTCACTGCCAGGCAAAAAGGACAAAGAGACGTCCATGGCAAACCCATTTCCGAACAGCAGAGTCTGCAGGCATTCAACTAAAAGGAAGGAGGAAAAAGAGTTTGCACGCCAGCAGGGAAAACTGCAGAGCCATCCAATGAAGCTCTGCCCCAGCTGTGCCCCAAAACAGCCACAAAACAAAACCTCACCCAACATTAACGCCGTGTTCAATAAAAAAGATGCAACGACAGAGAAACTGGGTTGGATCACAATACAAATGTCCTGGCAGATGCTTGTTTTCACTAACGTTGGAACCCTGCAGATTGAAATATGGTCCTCTCTTCTCCAGAAGGCAAACGTTCCTCTGCAACCATCACCACTACACACCTGTTATGATCCTGTGGAACCGTGGCACGTCGTCAGGGAATACGGCACTGTGGCACGTAATGGGGCAAGCGACGCAGCACAGAAACCATCTCTGTGCACCAAACACAACGGAGCTATCACTCTGAACTACTCTTAATTGTCGGTGCCGCCTTTACTCAAGACATTCGGCTGCTTGAGAGCTTGGTACCCAAGGCGACCAAATGTGTGAAAGGACTTTGCATACACAGACACAGGGCCTTCTGCGCTGGGATACGCCCTGGCAGATCAGGAGTGAGGTCCGCCTCCTCAGCCTTACAGCAGGCAGTGAAGACTACCAACCCCTTTGCCCGTATCTTGAAGGAGAGTTCACTCGCTGCTGCAAGGCTTAGAAAATAGTTAACAGTAGCTTGGGTGAGGGGCAATCTTCTGCACATAACGTGGGAAGGGTAGGAGGGTTAACCCTGTGATTACATGTTACAAGAGAGGTGTGTGTGTGTGTGTGTGTGTGTGTGTGTGTG